GCGGGAACGGACAGTGCAGTGGCCGACGGTATAGTACCACAGGCACGTAGCTGCTGTGCTGCGTACTGCGCAGCATTACGCCAGGCGTCGTCGGGCTGGCCATTAGTGTCTCTGATCTGCCGATTTAACCGCCAAAAAGCACGCACGGCTGCAACGGCGCCAGCGGGCACCTAGATAGATATACAACCATGTAAACGGCCAGGTACAATTCTCGTCCAGCCAAGGTTTACCTACAGGCTTGCAAGTGTGTCCCATTTTGGCGCAGTCCCAACATGCCGCACCAGTATCTATCTAGTCAGCACTTTCATGGCCAGAGATGCTTTGCAGGATAGTGGCCTTACTGTCTTGGGACGCACACTCGTGGCCAGGTGCTTTTGTGGCGCGAGTAACACATGGGCGGCAAGGGAATTCACGCTGCGAGCCGATAGGGGGGGCTTTCTTCGTTGGCTGTTTCCTCTTCTGCATCGACAGGCCCATTAGCTATATTCCTGCCCATCGATACAACGACGAATGGTCTCACCGTAACCTTACTTGGGGTTGGACGGGTGCTGGCAGTGTCCTTTCGTTTCCCACCGTGCAGTTTGGCGTTGTTTTTGCTGGAGCGTCTGTTTAGCGTTCCGTCGCCAGCAGGCTCCGTTACCTTAGTCTGATCGCCAGCAGGCATGATGATGATTAGCCCAGGTGACTCTGAGGCAAACAGTCTATAGTGCAAGAAAACAATTCAGAGCAAATGGGAATGAGCGGAAGTTTATGAAACTGGCGGCTTGAGACGCACCGCACCGCTGTTGACCAAAAATCCTTCGAACCTCGATCGCTGCGGGCCAGCGTCAGCTCCGCAGCGGGGTAGTGCGGTCAGCCACCCTGCAACGGATCCTACCAGAGAGGCCCCTTTCCTGGTTAGGAACACCGGCAGAGATGTTAGAGGACCCGATCGCCATATATGCCGAATTCAAGGATGTGCTCCGTCAAGAGCTTTTTGACTTGGTCAAAACGTGGAGTCTGCACCCCGTACGCCTCCAAAAGAACCGCCCACACGTGGTCCACGGCCAACCGTGGATGAACCATCATTACCCCGACCCCAGTAAGGCTTGCAATTAGGGTGTACAGATCGACCGTTCGGTATTTGCCGAGATGGAAAGGCCAGTGGCTGCACTTGACATCAGTACATGTTTAGAGCCGGAGACAAAAGCCTGGTGCCGCCAGATTCTCACGGAAATGGGCTACGACGAGGTGGTACATAGGTGGCCGCTACCGAGACCCCTGACAAGCTTCGCCCGCTTACACGCTTCTATATAGGCCTACGTGGACGGATCGTTAGGCACCTTGAGTGTCAAGTTGTCTCCCATACTAAATTACCTTACCGTCGGGCACCGACAGGAGGAGCTGCGGAATATGTAGATCACTCTATTTATATGTGCGCTCCACCAACTAACTGCAAGACAACTGCCGATGGCAGGTTCGCCTATTTAGAGCAGGTCAGTTTTGAACTTAAGCTTAACTGATATGGTTTCTTGCGAACTCTGTGGCAACAGTCGTATGATTCTCACCTTCGTTTTCGTCCTCGTCCACGTCCTCCATTCCTTTGCGTCATCATCTGTAGCAAAGGGCACTGGTGTCTGCCACATCAGAAAGAGGCTGTTCGACTTCATCTTTGCTGTTCCCAAGTTCCATTGGTCACCCGTCAGCCCCGTCAGCCTCGGATAGGGGCTGTCTGCAAATGGATCCCTCTTGCCTCAGTCCCCACACGTATCTCTTGTTTGATCTCACCCGCTTTGGTTCATCTCCGTCCTAGGTCCGTTTTTTGCTCCTTGACGCAGACGCATCGTCCGCAAAAGTTTTCGCCTGCGTAGGTGGTTGTAAATAGATCATGGTGCTTCTTCCCGGCTTGTACGCAGTAAACATATCTGACATTGAGGATTTAATGGCACGTATGGCTTGTGATACCTGTATAGCATATAGACCTGACAAGTGTGTATACATGAAAGGTAGCCAATACGGCGCCATTGGCGTAGTTGATGCTGCCGACAGACATTACCCAATATGAAGTCAGACACCAGGCTCTAGATTTAGAAAAGCAATAATATTAGGGCCATGTCGGGCCAGAAGACTCCCGCGGCGAACCCGCAGCTAGTCCGAGTGACTTCTCAGCCGCCTATTCCATGTACCCATTAAGAGACAAGTGCGGATTTAATGACGACAGATCCCTGCAGGCAGGTGGCAGGCCAGGTTGACAGGGGAGTTTTGGCAACAGCCTCCACTATAATCCGTAGGCCTCCGTATATTCGTAACTCCACTGGCAGCCTTACTTACCACATCAGCCCGCGCTGTTTGGCACTTGGTTGCAAGATACGCTCGCTATCAAGGTCTGTATTATTATATAAGCATGGCAATCAGAAGTTGGGCGAGGCGTGATGGTAGCGGCCTTTCTCTTTCTTTTTTTTTTTTTTTCTTTTTCTTTCTTCTCCTTCTTAGAAGGAGCGGTCTCGGTCTATAATTTGCCCTTGACATACATAGACGAGTCAAAGAAAACACAGCTTGAACAGTACAGACACACAAAATATGTCTATGATATCTGCCAATCGTTACACAGCTTGCTACCGCTGCCACTCACAGAAGCTGCGATGCACCCGTGCTGTAGGGCAGGATGCATGCCTGCGATGTGCTCGCGCCGGTGCCTACTGTGTGATGCGTCCCTCGAAGCGGCAGCAGCAGAAGAGGCCGTCGCTGGACCCAGAACAATCATGCATCGCAGGACATGACTTGCAAGCACCCATAAGCAACTCTGGCAACTTTGCCCAGCCTCTCAAGCAAGGTAGTGAGGCTAGCGGTGTACATACCTCGGCGCGCGTTGATGCTGGCGATGGCACGTCGCCGCTGCCTGCGCAAGACATTATTTCAGCATGGGGCGACCCTGTTGTTCTGAGCGCTGATGACCTTGTCATGCTCGATTGCAACTTTTATCAGCATCCCGATGCCGCCGATGCATCAGCTGATGCAGCTGATGCAGCTGATGGCGACTACGGCAGTGTATCAGTAAGCTCGACTGCGCCGTCGTCAAAGACCCAGCCATGCCAGCAGCTAGCGTTGGCAGCTATCGAGAGCCCGACCTCGTGGGTCTCACGATGCTTTGTGCTGCGAAATAAGCTCGATGGCAGTTATAAAGACCACGCGATATTTGCGATGCAGCAGCAGATGCAAGGCAACGACCAAGATACCTTGGCCATCTCGGAGATTACTTCAGACGGCGAGACGGTCAATGTAGCGCAAGGCGAGAGAATGCGATGCTTGTCCCATCATGCCATTAGCCCGTGGTCGTTGGATCAGTCCGTTGAGCTGGCGCAGGATCTTCTCTGCCTTATCGAACAGCTCGAAAAGGCGCACGCAAGTCAGAGACGCCCATTGTTAGGCAGCGCTTCGTTTTCGAAAGCTTCCAACAATCTTCTTTTGCTATCCTGCCACTCCCAGCTTGCCGGGACGCTACACGCCAGCCTTGACTGGATCGCCGACATTATCGCCAACAAGAAAAGGACTGCCAAGATTGAAGATGTGCTAGCCCGACTGGAACCTGTGCTGCCGTGCATACGTATAGGCTCGGTGCGTCTCAAGACGACGCTCCAGGCGCAGCTAATCGCCGTCATGGGTACGCTCAAGTCGCAGGCCGTGGAGATTAGGCGTCGGATGGCGTCAGTCTTGGGCCCATCACCACGACTGAGTAGCATGGAGGGGCAGATGCTAACAAGGCCAGACAAGGCAGATGATGACGATGACGATGACGATGACGAAACTGCTAATGTGGAAACACTTGTCGATCCGACACTATGTAAAGGTGCTGCTGCGGATAACGGACTGATGAACATTGTTGACGAGTTGGATAATTTACTGATGCGTGGCATCGACAAGCTTAGCAACCTCTTGGTTGAGACTTGATCGCTACCTAGGTAATCCGTAGCAAGTGAGTGGCGTGTCGTAAAATTGAGGGCTGCTCGTGCAAGGTAAGCAAAACCACCTGCTCGACTTTGAGTTGGACATGTCGATTGCGGTCGGGCTTTATTTAGCATAAAAGACGAGGTGGGGATGTATATATTAAGCATCGAGTACAGAAGAAGAAGAAAAAAAAAAAAAAAAAAGAAAGAAAAAGGGTACAGAGAAAGAATTAGGTCAAGCAATGCAGAATAGTAAAAAATGAATATTAAACAACTTTTTGTCATCATCTACAGTTGTAATTGTCAAGCTATAAAAGCGCTTGAAACTTGTCCACGAGCTTCCCCTGAGCCACCACGCCCAGCGCTCGAATATTTGGGGCTTGGAAAATCTCCAAAACAGCAAATTCGACACCGACCTTGCGCCTCAGCCAATTGCGAAGCTCAATGCTAATAAGCGAATCAATACCGATAGTGGCCAGCGGTGCGTCCAGACATGCATCGTCGATACTAGTCTTCATCAGAAAACCAAACAGCGTCTTGGCAATCTCGCCCGCGAGCAGCAATGCAGTCTCTGGCGCTTTGAGCACCATCACGTTCGTACTGGCGCCCCTGAGGAAGTTGGACAGGGTCTGGTCGTCACCATCACCGTCGTCGGCAGTCTGCGCGTCGGCGGCCTTCTCCAGGTTTCGGTACACAAGCATGCGAGGGTCCTTGCGCCAGATGGTGCGGTTATTGGGCGACATGATGGGCAGTGTGGAGCGCATGCCGACGCCAATCCGCGACCTGTCGACGTAAGGGGGTCCCAACTGTTGGTGAGAAGAGAAGCGATGGCTGGAGCGACGCAGCATCAGCTCAATCGACTCGAGCAGCTCAGACTCTTGCATGAGGTGCTGGGATGTGGATCGAAGAGAATCGAGAATATCCGGGTTCTCGCTAACGTAGCCCACGTCTTCGATGACTCCAATGTTGACTACCGACGCCGGCAGCTTGAGCGAGTGGCGGTACGATACAAATGCGTCGAGAAACGTGTTGCCTGCGTTGTAGTTGGACTGGCCCCATTGGCCGCTGATGGCGCCGGCCGAGCTGAACATGAAGAAGAAGTCTAGAGTCTGGCTAGGCTGGCAGCGTATAAGCGCTTTGTGCAGATTCCATGTTCCTGCCACCTTGGGCTGGACGGCAGCTTGCCACTCGTGCCAAGTCATCTCGGAGACGTTGGTGTCCTGCGCGGTTAGAGCGTGTCAGCAGTATATGCGCGTGCGGATCTTCATGAGATCCAAGGAATAAAAAGGTGTATGGATAGAAATACTTACACGCAGAACCATAGACGCCTGCAGAATACCTACAATTGGCATCTTGGCAGCTTGAATAGCGCGCTCAACGTCTTGCAGCTTTGCCACGTCGCCGGCTACCAGAGTCGCGTGGCACGACAGCTGATTAAGCTCCTCGCGAAAATCTGCCGCGTCGGCAGAAGATTCGGCAGAGCGCGACAAAAAGACCAGATGCCTTGCGCCGTACTCTACGAGCCAAGTGGCGACTGCCCGGCCGAGGCCGCCGAGGCCGCCGACGAACAGGTAAGCACCGTCGGGCTGCAGCGCAAGTGGCTGTGGCGATATCGACGAGCACAATGAGGGCTGGTTGTGCTCTTCAGGCATCTCCAGTACAATCTTTCCAATATGCTGAGCTCTCTGCATGAAGCGGAAAGCCTCCTTGACGCTGTGTGCTGGGAAGATTGCCATAGGTCGGATGGGCTGGATGAAGCCCAAGTTGCAAAAGCTCATGACGCGCTCCATTATGCTAAGAGGGGGTTATCAAGGTTAGCTACTGAGTAAAAAAAAAAAAAAAAGAAAAAAAAGAAAAGCAGCAAGTGAGGGAGGAGGGACATGAGAAGAGGTTGGCAAAGCAAAATCGAAGCAGAACGCACCCTTCGATGACATGCGGTCTCTTGGTGGCAAACAAGAGCAGGTCAAAGCCAATAAACCTTCTGTTTGGCTCAAACAACTGCATATCCAGCACGGCCTGACCGACAAAGTCCCTCCGACCGATTTCAACAAAGGTGCCAAATTCGGCAACGCACTTCCACGACGCGTGCAGCAGTTCGCCCGACAGCGAATTGAGAACCACATCGACCCCAACGCCGTCGGTAGCCGCCATGACATGCTGTAGGAAGTCTCCGGTACGCGAGTGAAAGATGCGCTCGCGAGGCTGGTCAAACGCCTTGACAAGGTAGTCAATCTTTTCCTCGCTACTGACGGTTGCGTATATCTGCGTATCTGTCAGCCTAGTTGTGTTGCTAGTGTTGCAGGTTTTCATCAAGGGCTCCGGGGCAACGCAGATAGATGATGCCAGAGGTGTGGGTAGCAACTTACTGTAGCCCCTACCATTTTTGCGATTTGCATAGCAGCAATGCCTACACCACCAGCGGCAGAATGAATCAGGACCGTGCTCCCCTTGGTGAGCTTTCCGGAGTCGAGCAAGCCGTAGATTGCTGTGCAGTTGACTGCTGACATGGTGGCGCCTTCCAGGAACGTCATATTGTCTGGCATCTTGACACACAGCCTCTGGTCCAGGCTCATGGTGGTGGCGAGGCAGCCGCTGGAGCTCATGATGACTCTGTCCCCGGGAGTGAGCTTGGCAACGTTGGCGCCGACGGCGACAACGATACCGCTCCCTTCGTAACCGAAGCCTCTGCCAATGGACGACTTTGCACTGATGACGCCGGTACTGATGAGAACATCCTGTCGCATCCACGTTATTCATTGCTCATTCAGCCTCGTTGGACGCGCGCGCACTTACTTACCTTGAAGTTTAGGCCAACTGCCTTGACCTGAACCAAGACGTCGCATTCGTCAAGCAAAGGTGCCTGCAGCTCCTGCCGCCAGCAAAGCGTATCAATCAATCCGGATCTATCTTGAACCAGCTTGGAGGTGCGCGCCTGGTCACCTTGCGCAGTGCCTTCCATCTTGAGCTCCTCTTCCACTTGTATATAGTGATAACGGCTGATGAGCATCTTTCCTCTGTCGTACGCCCATTCTAGCGTGGGATTCACAGCATCTTCGCTCAAGCGAAGCTGGAACTCGCGCAAAACGCGCGGCACAACGGCCAAGCCATCGTAATCGAACCTGTCCAGCTCGAGGGTTGCAAAGTCAAGGCTCATTTCTGTGCGCATGACGCGTGCGAAGCCGTTGACCATGGCGTACCGCGGGTCTACGCAGCGCACCTGGGCGGCGCCTGTTACCCACAGGATGCCTCCGCCGACGTTTTGTACCTGAGCTAGCAGCTTTTGCAGGTTCGAAAACTTGACCGCATCGAGCTCGTGGAAAAAGGGTTCGCTCAGATCAAGGAGGGATAAAACGTCCCCGCTCTCCGGAAGATTGGCTTCCTCTATGCTCTCGATGGCCTGAAGCCCGGTCGTGTATCCGTGGCCTGTCAGGATATCGACTACGGTTTGCGCTGGGGATGGACGGCTAGCTGAGTAGAGAACGGTAAGCCTGGTCCGAGATTTGGCTTCATCTAGCACGCGGCACGGTGTTGATACAATGTTGTTGTTGAGGAATCCGTCGTAGCTCCTCAAGGCGGCTCCGCTGAAGCCTGCAGAGAGAAGCTCCTGGTCCCAGCGCTCAGCAGAGACGTATGGCTCGGGGAAACGACCATCTTGCTCGCCCAGCCACCATCCCGGGAGGATACCCATGATGAAATTGATCCATTTTGTAGCTACATGTTTGTTAACGATGATGAGCCTGGGTCTGCCAAGCTAGAGGCATCCGTACCTGGAGAGAGCTCTTGAAGAAAGAGGCGGCCCTCGGGATGCAAGAGGGTGTGAACGTTTTCCAGAGTCGCCCGCAAGGAAGGTGTAGCATGAAGCACCTAGTTAGTTTGAGCGTATTTGGTTAGTAAGAAATAAATAGGGAGAAATAAAGAAAGAAAGAAAGAAAAAGAAGAAAAGAAAAAAAGAAAAAAAAAAGAAAAAAAAAAGAAAAGACATACATTACAAGCAATAACAAGGTCAAATGAATTCGGTTCATATCCCTGCTCAATCGGGTCCTTGGCAATGTCCAAGACGGCGAATTCAACAGCAGAATACGCCTCAAACCGTTTGCGAGCGGCAGGAAAGAAGCCGGCACTAATGTCAGTGTACGTATACGACGAGTACATTCTCTCGCCGTAACGAGACCGCAGCGCAGGAAGTACGGTAGCCGTGGTCCCGCCAGTACCGGCTCCGATCTCGAGAACGCGCATGTTTGGCTTTCGATGGGCAGCAAGGTCTAGCAAGGCATCGTACTTGCTGTTTTGCATGAAATCGTACAGTTGATGAAGCACGTCGTCCCGGAGGAGCAGCTCGAGACCATCGACTTGCCCGGAAAAGAGGCTGGCGCAGTCATCGTGGATGCGGTACATGGCCTCTGCGGCAGCCTTGGCCTCGGATGACTGCAGCTCTCGGTAGAGCTCGTCGATGCTTCGCAACGTCGTCGCGCCCAGGCCAAGTTGTTTGCGTGACGCGTGCTGCGTGGCATCATGTAGCCACGTCTTGTAGTGTTGTAGATGAGCTACACCTGCTGCGCATGGTGCCAAGGTGTGCATCTTGTCCGAGGTCCTCTGCATGCAGACAGCGGCAAATTCGTTCAACAGGGCATACACAGCTGTCCGGTCACTTGCCGGCTCTATGAGATGCTCAACTGAGGCTTGTAGGTGCAGATCCTCCTTCCACTCGAGCTCTACGGCCGCATGGCGGTTTGGGTCCTGCAGGTCGGAGGAATCTTCAATGGCCGACATTTGCAAACCTTTCATCTCAATGGCAACCTGGCCGCCTGAAAGAGCCGTAATATCTCCCGAGAGGGTTGCCTTGGGTTCCTTATCGGCGCGAACCTCAATCTGCATATCCTTGTGGAGCGGCGGCGCCACATACATCTCTTCAATGTACGTGGGCAGTCCCAGGGTGTTGAACCGGCGAGTGAGGCCGTGAAAGGTCGCCGGCGCAATGGCCTGGATAAAGCAGTCCAGCGTGACGGGATGCACTGCGTACTGGGACTCGCCATCGCGCATGTCGTTGGTCAGGCTCGCGACTACGGTGCGCTCAACGGGATGCGCCGACATGTCCTTCAGGCCCATGAACCGCGGTCCGTACTCGAGTCCCATGGCACGCATCTTGCGATACCACCCTCGACTTGACAGCGACCGCGCCTTGGGACAAATCTTGGGCGCAGTGTGTGCCTTGTCGGCGCCAGCTGAGATTTGGCCAAAACTATGCTTGGTCCAAGTACCATTGTGTAGCGACGAGATGCTGAAGCTGTACCACTTGGAGTCGAGCGCATACGTTAGTGGCGCACGATGTAGCTCCGTCAAGACCTCGACGTCTACGCCCTGGTGCATCACAAGAGCTGATTTGATGTGCACCCGTCTGACAGTAAAGGACTCGCTACCCGTCAGTTGTCGAACAGCCTCGCCGGCCATGCAGACGTAGCCGACGCCTGGAAAAACGATGCTGCCGGCAACCTCATGCTCCTTGATCCAGGGCACCGCATCGAGACGAATAATGTTGCGCCAGCTGGGGCTGTGATTCGTGCTCTCGAGAACTCGCGAACCCAAGACATCGTGATGCGGAAACTGGCGCAAACGCCACTCCTTGGAAAGACGACTTTCAAACCAGAGCTGCTCGTCGTCGCCGTCGTCGTAGTGCCATGGATACAGGGGCAAGTTTGTCAAAAAGTGCCCTTGCCCTGCTGCCACTGCAACATCTACGGGAACCTGCCGCAGCCACATCTCACCGATGCAGTGCAGCATGTCGCGGTACGAGTCCTGGCCTCGGCTCAGCGTCTTGACGTGGTCGAAAGATGAAGAGAATTGGCCGAGAGTCTCGCGAACCGGGCCAACTAGAGCTGGGTGAGGCCCTAGCTCTAAGAAGGTCTGCAAAGCGGCCGAACTCGAATGAGCTTGGCCCAGAGCAGTGGAAAAGAGCACTGGACAAGTCAAGTTTTGAACCCAGTATGCCGCGCCCAATGTGCCAGCCTCAGTCACCTGCCCACCCGTGACGCTCGAGTAAAAAGGCACGGCTGGCGCCGAGGCCGATATGAGCTGTCGCTCAAGTAGCCGCAGATACGTTGGGGCGATGACTTGCATGTGTGCTACAATCATTGTTAGTCATGTGCTGGCTCATGATGTATCATGGGGGAGCCTCTCGAGGAGACGATGGGATATATGTACGAGAGTGATAGGCCCGGTCAACGTGCAGCTTGCGAACCAATACTCCGGGATATGCGGCACGGATACTATCCATGGTCTTGTCCAAGGCATCCTTGTCTCCCGTGATTGTCGTGTTGGAGGGGCTGTTCTCGCACCCGACAACAACTCCCGACTGCAGCAGCGGCTTGATGTCTTGTGGCTTCAGCCCGATAGCTGCCATGCCACCGAGCCTGCTGGTCGCGTCGAGCAGCGGCATTACCAGCCCGCGATAGTAGGCAATTCGCATGGCCGCCTCGGTTGAGATGGCACCGCTAGCATACGCTGCAGCAATCTCGCCGCTAGAATGCCCTACCACGGCGTCAGGCCGCACGCCGTAGTGGCCAAGCAGATCGACCAGCGCAACCTGGACGGCGGTACAGCACGGTTGCGAGATCTCGGCCTCGGTGAGACGGCTACTGGCCTTGGGTGCCAAAAGGGTATCTATACCGTACCATGGTCGAATCATTAGCACTGACTGCGCAATGCCCATGATTTGTGTGAATGAACTGTACCAATCAAGCTCCACGCAGGCCCATCTGGTAGGGACTGCAGGATCGCTTGCATATTCTCAAGCCTCTGGCGGAACAGATTGCTCTGCTGCACCAGTTTCTTTGCCATTTGCGGCCACTGCGCACCCTGTCCATTAAAGACAAACACAAGCTTGGGCGGCGCAGCTTTGACGCTGGCCTGGCGGACGCGGGAGGGCTGCCAGGCATCCTCGCCATCGGTAACAACAAATGCACGGTGAATTAGTTTCTCACGTTTAAGTGCCAAAGAGTAGCACATGTCCTGTAGTGAGTCTGGGTGGGAGATGTTATACGCTTCGTGCTCGGATATGGTGCGCGACAGTGCCATCGGGTGTTTGGCTGAGAAGAGCAGCAGCTGAGGTGTCAGCTCGTCTAGAGCCTGGTCCGCTGCATCTATAGGCTTCGGGTGAGTCTGAAAGATTCCAAACGACTCGGCCGATCCCAAAAGTACCTATTGCATCGTAACAATATCAGCATTCGTCTCACTGCAGGGTGAGACAATCACACAGTACATGCGCGTTGGAGCCGCCAATGCCAAACGAGTTTACTCCAACAAGCTCATCGCGATCTTGTGGCCAGGGCAGGGGCTCAGTTGGTACTTTAAGCTTGCACTCATCAAACCGAACTGGTGACTTCCATTAGCCTTGGCTCCCCGCCGCGCTCGGCCAGTGTACCGGGGGGGGGGGGTTTCGCACTCTTTGGGTTTGGTGTAGTGAAATGGATATTGGGCGGAATCGTCTTGTTCTCTAAAGCTAGTGTCATCTTGATGATACTGGAAAGGCCCGAGGCACCCTCGCTGTGCCCCAGGTTCGGCTTTACCTGTAGGGAAGCAAGTTTTAGCTACCGTAGTATTCAGAACGCCAGGGAGTGAACTAACCGAACCAATATAGATGCCGTGCTCGCCAAACACGTTGGCCACAGCGGCTGCTTCGATGGGATCCCCAACCTAGAGACACGCTTAGCTCGTGGGGCAGGACAGGAAAAGAATACAAACAGTCATTTGGTCTGCTCTGCTCACGCACCGTGGTTCCTGTGCCGTGACACTCAATCATGGCCGTCTTGGAAAAGTCATGGATCCCGGCCAGCTCATGTCCTCGCCTGATGAGCATCTCGTGCGCAGCCGTGCTAGGTGCTGTCAGGGTTGTTGCCTTTCCTCCGGCGTTGATGCAAGTCGAGCGAATCACAGAGCGCACCGGGTCGCCGTCGCGAATGGCATCGCTTAGCCTTTTTACATAGATGGCGGACACGGCTTCTCCGCGGGCATACCCATCGGCTTTGGCGTCGAATGTTTTGCAGATCCCGGTCGGCGAGATGACGCCTTGTTCCTGCATCGTGACCGAAGTCCGAGGCGAGTAGATGATGTTTGCACAGGCCACAACGGCTGACTCGCATTCGCCCGACGAGATGGCCCTGCAGGCATCGTACAGCCCTGTGAGCGAGGACGAGCAGGCGGTGCGGATGGTCACGCTGCCGGCGTAGGTCAGTCAGTAAAGGGAACAAGAAATCATGGTCGTGCATCGTACCTAGGGCCCATGAAGCCAAACTCGTAGTGAATACGATTAGCAGACATGTAATCCCCATATCCGGTTAAGCGGTACATGTGGTAGTGCAACGGATCTCGGCCGTCGAGCTCCTGCCAATCTCCCTCAAAGGTGCCCAGGTAGACTCCGACTTTTTTGCCGCGAAGCTGCTCCGGGATCTGGCCGGCATTCTGCAGGCACTCATATGTCACCTCGAGCGTTAGCCGCTGCTGGGGATCCATCGCTTCAATCTCCTGCCTGGTCATGGACCAGAACGAGGCGTCCATGTTGGCGAGATTGACATCTTGTAGAAAGTAACCATACTTGCTGGCTACGTGGCCAATCTTGCCCGGTCCGTACCAGGCATCGACGTTGTAACGGCTCGCGGGGACCTTGCACCGGCCAGACCTCTTGTTGTACAATAGGTCCCAGTAGCCCTCTGCGTCTCGAATGCCTCCAGGCAGCCTCATGCCCATGCCGCAGATGGCCATTGGCTCTGCAATAGGCTCCTGCACGGTGTCACCCGGAGGGGGTGATGCCTGCGACGACGCTGGTGACATAAGGATCGGTTTGTCGGATAAAGGCGTTGGAAGAGCATCATTGCCGGTGTTAGGTCTGAAACTAGACTGATGGCCATTGGCGTGAGACATGATGGATGATTGACCAAATGTAGTATAATTGTTTAGTGGGCTTGGTTGGGTATGTACGATCTGTCGAAATGAATGTCTTCTTGTAACTCAACAGGGGGAATGCGAGTCGAGAAACCGCACCGAGACTATACCCGTCTCTTTCTCTATTTTGTCTGCCCACCACCTCTAACAGTACGGAGTGGACTTGCGAAATGTGCAGGAATTGTTTGTTCGGGCTACCGAATGACCGAATGACCGGCGCCGACAGCCGATGACCGGTCAAGCAAGACACCAGATTGCAACAAGAGTATTTTAAATTACTCTTGATAAAGTATAAACAATCGCAAGTAACCTAATCTCATGACGGTACAGCACAAAATTGACTCAAGAGCGCTTTATAGACGGCTATAACAAAGATGCCCGACTCTCCACCTGGCTTATTCATTACAGGTATAGGATCTCAATACCCAGCATTCCTACTGGGGCCCGAAAAGCTAGACACCTTTGCCGCTCGATTCTACGATGTGGACAAGGCTGGGTATGTTTTGCAATGGCGCCGGGCCGGGCCTAGCATCTTGGTCCGGGACTCACTCACTCTTGCCTGCGCGTTGCTGACGAGACTTTACTTAGCCTGAAGAAGCTGCTGCAAATCAACCGCTGCACCGGCATCGAGACGCGCGCTGCCATCAAGACGTATGAGACGGGCTTCGCTGCACAGACTGAGGCGCCCACCATCTCGGACCTGGATGCCCTGTTCCGCCAGGCCGGCGTTGACTTGACAGTTCAGGCCTGTCGCAAGGCGTTGCGGGAGTCGCGCGTGCCACTGCGCGACATCACGCATACGATTGGCGTGACATGCACCAACCAGGGAACCCCAGGTTATGATCTTTTGGTCCACCGCAAGCTGGGCCTCGCGCCGACCGTCGACCGCATGCTGCTGCACGGCGTCGGGTGCGCAGGCGGCCTCTCCATCATGCGAGCGGCCGCCCAGATTGCCAACGGTTCCAGCATGGTCGGCAAGCCCGCCCGCATTCTCGCTTTTGCCTGCGAGCTGTGCACGTCCAATGTTCGCCACGATCTTGCCGAGGCCCAGAATTGCCCAGATCCAGACAACATGAGCATCGCCGGAGCGCTCTTCTCCGATGCCGCCGCCGCCTTTGTTCTATGCAATGAGTTTGCTCTGCGCCAGTCGGAGACCAGCCCGATCTTTGAGCTGCTGACCTGGGGCAATGCTCTTGTCCCAGATACGATGCAGCACATGGCCTTTTATGCCGCCGAAGATGGTATGTCTTGCCTGACTCCATGCTCAGCTCTCGAGGAGCTTGCTAAAATACAACAAGGATTTCGCACAATCTTGACTAGGGATGTGCCTATTTATACCAAGCAGGCTATGAAGCCCATGTTCGACAGCCTGCTACCGCGTTTGGCCATGACAGAAGCACTAGCAGCCTCGGACTTTGACTGGGCTCTTCACCCGGGAGGAGAGGCGATTCTCGATGGTGCCGCCGAAGCAATGCATCTGACTCCGGATCAGCTGCGCGCTAGTCGAGAAATTTATCGCACCCGTGGCAATTCATCCAGCCCAACAGTATTAGCTGTTCTGGATAAATTGCGTTCATATGGCAAGAATCGCGACCACGTGGTTGCGACCTCATTCGGGCCTGGGCTAGCGATTGAAATGGCCATCTTGAAATGGTGCAAAAATTGATCAAATAGCAAAGCAGGATCAGTATGCACCATAGAGGCACTTGGGGATAAAAAAATTTCATAGACTACTAAATTTCATGTCTATGTGACTACTGCCCACGCTGTGTACATCAGCGCAACAAAGCAAACCACATGCAAGCCTAGATGAAGCCCGGGTGAGGCTACGAAATTGCACGGTGCAATTTGTTGCCTTGAAAGTCTTGCTTGAGCTCGCAGACTAGGGCCGACGTGATAGAGGGCGAGAGCGCCTGCAATAGCGGCGATTATATGCTGGAGATGCTCGTTTGCGTGGTATGTTAAAATCGCAATGATTATATTGACGACAAGCAATAAAAGTCCGTACTGTCGTATCAAGCCGTGTGCATCATGTTGAGGTGTGTCGAGTGTCGCTGCTGGGAACAGTAGAAACCCCACAATCGCCGGCGTCTCGATAACAAAGTGAAAAACTAGGCCGATCATCACCGTCATTTTGCGTCTTGTAGGCGTCAAGTTAAAGGACAGACTCGAATTATAGGTTTTATTTTATATGATGAATATGTAGTTGCAAGGCTTGAGATGGGCTGTAGGAAGTGACACTTACAGTAGGTCCAATTAAATCCCGCTCGCAAAACAACAAAATTATACACTAGTACTAAATCGCGTCGTAAAGGAAGATAACATGTAAACTTTAAAGCTATATTAGACCTACTATAATACCTAGAATTACTTAAAATCCTAATTATAATCTTAATAAAAGGGGAAGGATATAGTAACTATGTTTAATTGGTTTTTCCTATAATAATATAATATAATTAGAGTAGTTATACATCAGTATTTCAAGTAATATAATAGGAGTATTTCTAGTATTATAATATACTATAAGTACTAATAAAAGAGGTAAGATTTACTATGCTTTAATACTTTAAGAAAGATATCTTTATATAGAAAATAATAATTCTCAAGAAATAATAGTATAATTTAGAACCTTAAAATTAAGAAATAGATATATATATATACACTTAGAGCTTTAATAACTTTATTTATACTATAGCTAACTAGATAGGCTTATATATAGTATATAATATAATAGACTTTTTATAGTTCTCCTTAAAATATTATAGTATTTTAATTTTAAATATATACTTATTAATAAGTATTTGTTTTATTTATCAAAGATTACTACTATAAAGTACTAGAAGTACTTTAAATGAAAGCCTCTTTACTAGCTTATTATAATAGTACTAAATAGGATTACTACTATTCTTTACTTTAACGGCTAGTATATAAAGTATTAATTATACTAATTAATATAGAATTGAATAAACTATCTATATGTATAATATTACTTAATTTACTTTAAGACTTTATAGTATAATGCGTGTTTAAAAATATTAGGTGTAGGTATAGGTACCCCGCCGATTTTCATCGCGAACGGAATGGCTAACACGGACGACCGAATTTTCGGCACCGATCGGTAACGTCTTCTACAGGCCGGCCGCAAGTTATTTGATGTCCGTTAGCATGCCCCATCAGCCGCCCTCTCAACGCCGGCCCTATTTGTTGGGGGAGCCCCTCTAGCTCTATTTAAGGTTTAAGCTTAATAAGTAAGGACTTATATATTTATCCCCGCAATAACACTGTAAATAGAATTTAACAGAAAATAAAATCAACACGCTTTTTAAACAGTCCCTGTTATGTTTGATGTAATCATTGCTGTATTTCAAATTTGTTGGGAGCTAAAAGCGTTGTGACACATGAGAAGGCGCGCCCATCTATCACGTGTCCACAGCCCTTTGGCTCGGGGCTCCCACTTCTGTATTCGATTCATACAATGCTTTTCTCGCGCCCATCATCTTCTATTGACATTTCCTTCTGAAACGACGGCAGCAAGCGATGCAGTCTGCCAATTCGAATCCTGGATTGGACCTAGCTGTATCCATTGGCTCCGGGATTTATCTATACGACCCGCCCGCGAAGCCAACAGCATCAGATCCCGCGCTCATTATCCTCAGCACATGGCTCGGAGGAGCGACGCCGCGACGAATCAGCAAGTACGTTGCAGGCTATCATGAGCTCTACTCAAACTCTGCCATCCTTGTTTTGACAACCAAAATCGCCGACATCACCGTTCTCCCCTCGTCTGCTCTGCATGCTCGCTTGCAGCCGGCACGAATGACCATTCGTCGGATATTATCATCACTCCCTAACAACAGCACTCCATCTATCTTGTTGCACATCTTTTCCCACGGCGGCTGTAATACTGCTTTGCAATTGATGCACTCTTTACAAAACGAACCAGTTCTCGATTACACCCTTGATTTTGCGAGTCATCTATACGGCATCATATTCGACTGCTGTCCAGGGGACGGATCCTTTAATCGTGCGTACAAGGCGGCAGCAGCATCGCTCCCAGATGCATTTCTGCCGCAATCAATTGGCAGAATGCTCCTTATTCCCTTGATCAGCACAATTACCTTTCTACAATGCATTGGCGGTATGAAGTCTATTACAGATTTGCGGCGAGAGCTCAATGATCCAGGCGTATTCGGAACTAGCGCTCGACGCTTATACTTGTATTCTTCTGGGGATCAAATGGTACAGTGGCAGGACGTCGAAGCTCATCTGGAGGCAGCGAGGTCCGTTTCAGACCACCCGGTGACAGGACTTCGATTCACTGAGAGCGGCCACTGTGCGATAATTCGCGACCATGCAGAGGACTACTGGAATGCAATTAATGATTTTTGGCAAACGCAAATTTACAAGCCTCAGAGTAGACTGTAGTTGGCAATGTATAATATAATGTACTATAGTAGCTTTTATTAGTGGTACGTAATAAAATAAAGCTGGTTTACTGTACTAGAAACGAAAGGAGTAATATAAAGTAGTTTGCTTGATATATAATCAAAATAATAGAAGAAGTTATAGATGATATTGATACTAAATTTTTGTCGATATATCAAGTCTACTTTAATGTGCCGCAGCCATCACGCGCTTGTCTTGCTTGGACTCTTTTACCTGCTCCGCTGTGTCATGCTGGAATCTTTGCGTGCTTGCGTGCTCACGATTCATGTCATATTCTTTCAGAGGCAACATGGCCAGGAAGCAAACACCGGAAATGGCACAAGAAGCAATCCATATGACCTGGAAAGACGCGGCCAGTGCATCTCGCGCATGCACAGTAAAAGGGTCATCGCGCGGGAGCTGCTTCAGCAGCGATACCAGTGCCATGATATCTCCGGGCTTGCTTCCGCTGCCATGCAACTCGTGTCCCGGTATCTTCTCCCAGCGTAGTCGCAGCTGATTTTCCAAAATGGCGCTGCCAATCGCAACGCCCAGCGCCTGGCCCATGGATCGAAAGAAGAGAACCAGAGTAGCAGCCGTGCTAACGGAGCTCTCGGGAACCGAAGCCTGGACTGCCAACGAAATGGAGGGAAACAGCAGCCCGATGCCCAGACCCGAGACAGCTTGAAGAAATATCCACTGAGCAACGCTGGTATGAGCGTCGAGCAGGACCAGCAGTCCGCAACCGCCGCTTACCAGTAGCCATCCTGCCCAAACGGCCCATCGGTACCGACCCGTGAGTCCGACTACGACACCAACAAAGGCAGCGCAGGGGACAATGGTTACCGTTTGGGGCAATGCTGCGACGCCGGAAACGATGGGCGAGTAGAGCTTGACGCCCTGGAAATACTCGGGCATGTAGTAGACGAAGCTATATAGTACCAGGCCGTGCAGTGTGCTACAGGCAAAGAGAAGAAGCACTGAATAGTTGGAGAATATATTCAGCGGCACCAGCTGTGAGATGTTTGGCCATCGCGACTGGGACCATTTCTCGTAAAACCCAAAGGCGACGATGCCCAGGATTCCTAGTAGTAGAGGCACCAGCGTCTGCCAGCTCGACCACGGATACTGTGTACCGCCCCAGGTGATGGGCATGAGCAGCGCCGTCGCCGATGCCACGAACAAGGCTGAGCCGGCAAAGTCAAAGCAGCGCAACGCCTCTCCAATGGCACGCTGGCGGTGGGACAGGCGCAAGAAGACGGCAATGCCCGCCATACCGACGGCCACGATAGGCAGGTTCATCCAAAAGATCCATCGCCAGGCGCCTTTTTGGCTCAGCACGCCACCTATAATAGGCCCTATCGGTCCTCCTACCGCCCATACTACGCTGATCAAGGCGTAAAGCTTGCCTCGCCGGCGAAGCGGCACCAGGTCCGTAATCAGCACCACAGTCAGGCCAACGACACCTCCGCAGCCCACCCCCTGTATAGTGCGGCCAGCCAGCATAGTAGTCCAGTTGGAAGCTACGGCGCAGATGATGGCCCCTGCTGCAAACACCACAAGCGCGGTCAGGATAGCGATACGCCGGCCAAGCGTGTCGCTGACGGTAACCCATATCAACATCATAGCCGTTGTCGCCAGTAGATAGGAAGTTCCGGCCCAGAAGGCTTCTGTCGACGATCCGCCCAGTTCACTGGAGATTTTCTGCAAAAGTATCAGTAAAATTAAACGGTCACGGATAGGGCTAATGGCAGCCGTACTGGCAAGGCGACGGACAGAGTGGTAGCGTCAAAAGCCGCGGCCAGATTGGTCAATGCGATGGACCAAAAGGCCAGCCAGAAGCGATAGCCAGCTTGGGGCTCCGCGGTCCTCTCTGTAGCGTGGGCATCGGTTTGCTCCTGGGTAGAGGCCGGCTGGGATTTCGCTTCAGCCTGAGCTGGATCTGTATTGGAGGACATTTGCTCCGAACGAGGCTAATAGAGAAGCCCTTTGTCAAGTTGTAATCTGTAGAAGAGCAGAAAGTACAAGCCTGGATAATAAAAAGGGATGGTGGCTAGGTAGGTAGGTATCCCGGACAAAGCTGTGTAACAGTAAGGTGAGTACGCCCGCACAGGTCTCACAGGTGCATCGGACATCCGACACCCGACTACCGAAACCCCCAATTAGCTCGCAATGGCACCAAGATATACCAGAGAGAGATTTTGGATCTCTCATCATATGAGAAATTTCTGCCATTTTCAACGAGGTATAACATGATATTCTTGCTAGCTTCCGCTGGGCTCGTGGTAGCTTTGCTTGTCCTCCAGCAGGCATGCCAGTCTATCTCCTGGCATGTCCGACACCAGAGAGCCAAAGCCGAGCACGGCTGCAAACCGCTGCGTCGCGCTCCTCAGAAGGACCCCTTCCTGGGGTTTGATCACTTCCTGCGGCTTGCGCGCGCAGCCTATGCAAAGACTTACCTCGAGACCTTCCAGCAATGGTTCCTAGACGTCGGCTCTACTTTTGGCGTGAACCTCATGGGCGACTATGTCATCTTTACCAACGACCCCAAGAACGTGCAAGCCCTTCTAGTGACCAAGTTTGCCGACTTTGAGCTAGGACAGCGCCGCCGCAACAACTCGTGGGAGCTGCTCGGCGTGGGCGTCTTCAACGCTGATGGTGACGACTGGGCACACGGTCGCGCGCTGATTCGGCCTAATTTCACCCGCAAGCAGGTTGCCGACCTGGAGCTATTTGAGAGGCACGTCCAGAAGTTGTTCAACGCCCTCCCTACCGATGGGTCGCCCGTGGATATGCAAGAAATGGTCTTTCGCTTTGCAAGTTCCTTTTCACCCGCAACTCTCTTTGTTGAAGTGTCCCTGTCCGCTAACGATGGACGTCAACCTCTAGACGATGGATGTAGGCACTGAAGTGCTGCTGGATGAATCTACAGACATCCTCCTCCCGAGTGCCACCGATGTCGCGCGCAAGTTCTCCTGGGCGTTTGAAAAGGGCATTGACGGCATTTCTCAGCGCATTCGCCTCGGAAAGTTTGCCAAGTTCTTTTACGACTCCCAGTATACCAAGGCTTGCCGTTTTGTCCACGACTACATTGATGTTATAGCCATCAGGGCGGCACAGCGGGCAAAGGAGCGGCAGGAAGAAAGAAGCTCACAGGACTCGCAGCACCACGACAAGGGCGGGGAGCGGTATACGTTTCTCAAGGCCTTGGCTGCGACCGGCGCGCCGCCCAAGATAATCCGCGACCAAGTTCTAAATACCTGTGAGCTTTCTCCCGTGTCTACCCTGCTTAGAGTCCCTCAGCCGTTGCTAATCTTTGATAACCACAGTAGTTGCTGCGCGCGACACCTCCGCGTGCCTTATAAGCGTGGCTGTTTTCGAAATGGCACGACGGCCAGACTATCAGGCTCGTATTCGGCAGGAGATTTTTGAACACATGGGCAGTGAGCCCCCCACCTTTGATGGTCTCAAGTCGCTTGTGTTTCTGGGCTACTTTATCAAAGAGTGCCTCCGTATGTACCCTCCCATCCCCCTCAACCAGCGCATGGCCAAAAACGACACGGTGTTGCCCATGGGAGGCGGCACTGACGGCACGTCCCCCATTTTCATTGCCAAGGGTCAGATGGTGGTCTACCAGGTCTACTCTATGCACCGCCGCGAAGACCTCTGGGGAGCAGATGCAGGGGCTTTCCGCCCTGAGCGGTGGGAGACTTCTCGCGCCACGTTTGAGTACCTACCCTTTAACGCCGGACCACGGATCTGTCCGGGACAGCAGTTTGCGATAGTAGAGACGAGTTACATGCTTATACGTCTACTACAAGCGTATGGCAGGATTATACCCCGAGATAATAACAGTCCCTGGCAGGAGCGCCTAACTTTGACATGCGCTGTAAATCAGGGTGTTTTGATAAGTTTATATAAATAAAAAACTTATAAAAGACCATTATTGAGACTTGATTAAATTATTTTCATGATTCTTTTCTTTTTCCTTCTAGTTATATTGTGCATTATTACGCCTTGCCATTTATATACACTAGATAATACAGATCACGACGCTTTTCACACGTCTTCGTATCTTCATTTTGTTTTACGCAGTTGCAATCCATACGGCGCAAGCTGCTCATCCGTAATCTTGCTCGGTGACTTGACAAACGCGTCCTCGCCCTTCATCGTCTTGGGAAACGCAATAACGTCGCGGACGGTCGCCGTGTCCGTCATGAGCGCCACCATGCGGTCAAAGCCCAGCGCGAAGCCGGCGTGCGGCGGGCATCCAGCGCGCAGTACCTCAAACATGTGCGCAAAGTCGGCGATGCGCCTGTCCGTCATCTGCAGCACGTCGCGCATGATGAAGTCCTGCACGTCGGCAATGTGGTTGCGGACGCTGCCCCCGCCAATCTCGACGCCGTTGAGGACGAGGTCGTACGCGGCGCTCTTGGCATCTAGAGGGTTGGTAAAGAGCAGTTCGAGGTCCTTTTCGGAAAGAGGGGCCGTAAATGGATGGTGGGACGCTGCGATGCCAGCGGCGCCCCCTTGGCCGGGCTCGTTCTCCTCGGTGGGCTTGAACATGGGAAACTCCGTCACCCAAACAAATTGTAGAGATCCGGGCTCGCCGTTGCGAGGTTTCGTCATGTAGCCCTTCTCGATAAGCGCCTTCCACAGAGAAGTGCGTAAATCACCAATCTTCGTCGAGCCTGAGCAGTACTGGCCCTTTGGTGTGTCTCGAGCTTGAAATATCACGAGATCACCATCGTTAAGCTCTTCACCTTCAGTGATCTGGTCGATCAATGGCTCGTACTCGAATCCAATTGAGGAGAAGCCACATCGGGGCTTTCTGGAATCGAAGATCAGGACTTGTGGCTTGCCCTCGGGATTTTCTCCTAATTCTGGTGACAGGTTGGTCATGAAATTCATGACAAACTTTCGTGACTCTTCTGGTGACGCATCATTCAACCGGAAAGCAAAGGCCTCAACAATAGGGTTCTCCAGATGTGTTATCATGCCGACGAACGTTCGATAGGGTTCAATATCCTTGATGGTATGAATACGCCCTGGGATACGTAGGTCGGGCTTGTCAGAGCCATACGACGATATGCACTCGGCAAACGTAAGAGTTGTGAATTGATATGCTCCGTCCAAGTCTGATTTTTCTGTTGCTGGAATACTTCGGACCATGGGTATTCGCTCTCCACGCATGTCTTGATAGCACGACGGCCCGAGTAAAGTCAAAGCCTTCATAATTATATCGTTGATGTCTTGTCGCACTGTCGCAGCACCAGCGAATGCCCACTCCATATCTAGCTGGGAAAATTCGGGTTGGCGATCGGCTCGCGAATCTTCGTCGCGATAGCAGCGCGCCCATTGCATGTATCGCGAAATGCCACTTGCCATCAGCACCTGCTTGTACTGCTGCGGGCTTTGGGTCAGAGCATAAGCCGTTCCCATTTGTCTCGTAGGGACAAGAAATTCCCTAGCCCCTTCTGGTGTCGATTTGAAAAGTGTGGGAGTCTCAATGTCTGTGAAGCCCTTTTCTATTAGTCCCTGGTGTAGTACATTCTTCAGCCATGAACGAAACTCGAGTCGAGCTTGGATCTCTGGGTGGAAGCGAATTTGCAAATGGCGTTTTGTCTGAGGGAACACAGTCTCGGGCGTGACTATGAGATCTTTTGGGACGCTGTTGAGAGCGCGGATGTCGTCGAGATATACTGTCGTCTTGGCGGAGGTGTCGCGGCCTTGCTCCTCTGCGCTGGGAGCTCGAACGTGTACAATGACGGGGCTGAAAGCCGGTACTTGGCGAAAGTCTGTGTGCGCATCCTTGTCAATCTCGCCATTAGAGCAGACTTGTATGATCTCGCCCGAGGGGGTCGTAAGGTCGGCAAAAGAGAGGTGTTTCGAAAGTGTTCGTTTTTTGCCAAGAAAGCCAACACATGGGTCAGAAGCTTGAGCTTCGGTACGAAGATCCACCCCACGATCTGTCCAAATCCATTGTTAGGATCATTTGCAGTTGAAGTCGCACAATGCGTACATTTGTTCCAGGTCTTGAGGAGCTCTGCTTGCTTGGAAACTGTTGTCGAGCTAGCCATTCGAGTTGTTATTCGCGGAAGACATCTCCGGCAGACAAAGACCGAAGCCTTGCTCGAAAGTAGCTCGAGTCGTAGCATAGTACACAATGGCCAGCCCGATAATTCAAAGATGGACGTCAAGTCAAAATGGCATGCGCTGGCAACAGCGGCATGCTCTAACTTTACAGTGGGCCTGATGTTCCTGGTGTCTTGTCAATTCGCGTAAAAGCGCGCCGACAGAAACTCCGGCAGGCCCCCGCGACCCCATATAATTTCTCGCGCGCTGCGCCGGGCTCTTCTTCTTTTTCTTCTCTTCATGAATCCTTCCATTCAAAAAAATGTGAGTACCTGCCGCAGGCAAGCAAAGTGCTAGAATTTGAGCTGACCAAATTTCCGCAGATGATGAGAACCGTGTGCATAATATGATGCAGATGCCAGCCACTACCATCACGCAAACTCTCTCTTCGGAGCTCAAGGGTTTGTGCGAATGGGTGGTTGGTATCGATGAAATAGGCGGCCGACACACCGACCTTGTTACAGCATCGGCCGCGTTGATAAAAAACTCTGACTCTACAGAATGGAAAGGGATTTATTTTGAGTGGCATATTTGAATACAGGTGTCTGGTTGGTGTTGTTCAAGTGAAGCACCACCCGGCATCAAGCTGCAGCCAGCTACTTGCATGTTTGAGAATGGGCTGTCTGGCTCAAGGTAAGGAGTTTGTACAGTACCTAACTATTGTATTGCATATTGAATATACTTGAATCTATTTGCTTTGAGTTGCGGAGGCATGCATGTGATTTGTCTGGTTGTCTGTCAAAAGATTTATCATATCTTGCAATGCGTATGTTTGCAGAATTGATACGTGCTCCATTCAACGGAATTGGCACGCGGGCCGGTGCATTCATATTGAATGCTTTGAGCGTTGATGTTCACATATTTTTCATGGTGGGGAAGTAATGAGGATGTCCGGTTGCCCGTGCCTGGCTGGGTCTCTGGTATAATAGGTAGATAGTGGGGGGCCGCGACGCAATGACAGGAACTACTGGCAGCGCTAGAGTCTGCTCGATTGACCACCGCAGTCACTGTATCCGCGTCAAACTCGTGCACTGACAGGCTGTGACAGCACTGTAACTCGGTCTGACTTCACTGGCCACGGCACCACCAGGGTTCGGATCCATTGCATTGGGCCAGCTGCCATCAAAGCCAGTGGCGGAGCCGGAGCCCAACCATCGACTTTCCCAAGCTTCGCCTACACCTTCATTTATTAGGGCGCAGCATCCTGTCCGTTCTGTCGCTACGCACGGCGTTTGCTCCCTCGCGTCCGGCTCGTCATCATGTCCAGCTCCTTTGAAAAGTCTGTCAAGGGCGCCACCAAGATCAAGGTATGTCGTCATGGGCAGGTCCCCTAAATGTCAGCCATCCCGCGTCGTGAGGTTGCGAGTTTGCGGGCACTCTCCTTCGAGGCCGGGAGACGTCAAGGAGCAGCGGCTAATGCGCGCGTCCGCAGAATGCGCCCCCCAAGGCAAAGTACATTGAGCATCTCCTGATTGCTACGCACTCGGGAGAGGCCGGCGTCGGCGAAGTCTTTCGGGCCATGCACTACCGCCTCCGGGATTCTACCTGGACCGTTGTGCTCAAGGGCCTCCTGACTGCCCACCTGATGATTCGTGAGGGGGCTCAGGAAGTCACTCTCGCCTATCTGTCGAAGCATCGTAATATGCTCGCTATTAGCAGCTTCACCGACGGTGAGTTTGCACCATGGCAGTTGGCCAAGAATTCAATGCTAACGTGTTTCGCAGCGCAGACACAGGGCCGGAACATTCGGCGCTACGCCAACTACCTCACCGAACGAGCGCGCGCCTATCGCGATACTAAGATTGATTGGGTCAGGTCTGGCGATGGGCGTCTGGAAAAGCTGAGCGTTGACAAGGGCCTTCTTCGTGAAACGGAGTCGGTACTGCACCAACTGGCAGCTTTGCTCAAGTGTGATGTAGGTCTAGACAAACGCGCTGCTTCCCAGCAAATAGCTAACGAGATGCAGGTTTTGGACTCGGAAGGCGAAACCGATATAACACTTTCGATCTTCAAGCTCCTGGTCCTGGATCTACTAAGCCTCTTCCAGTGTCTCAATCAGGGTCTCATTAACATCCTTGGTCGGTTCTTCGAAATGTCCAAAACCGATGCCGAGCGTGCCATGGAGATTTATCGAAGCTTTTCCAAGTACACCGACTACGTTGTTCAATATCTTTCGGTCGCGCGACAATACGAGTACCGCACTGGTGTCCAGGTTCCTAAGCTCACACACGCACCAGTCAACCTCGGCCGCCAATTGGAAGACTACCTGAATGATGCCGACTTTGATGTCCATCGCAGACAGTATCTCGCGGAGCAAGACTTCAAGAAGGGAGGCAAAGACAAGGATGCGTTTGATCTTCCTAAACCACCCCGATCACCTACGGGCCGAGCAAGCAGTGCGCAAAATTCAAGCAACCCATTCCCCGCACCGCCCAAGGATGCACCCAAGACGGCAGCCAAGGGTCCTGACCCCGATCTCATTGACTTTTTTGGCTCTATCGAGCAAAACCAAACGACTATGCATGTCAACACACCACCCAGTGCGCCAGGTCAGAACATGTTTCAGCCTCCTCAGCAGCCCCAGCAGCTCGAGCTTCAGCCCACGGGATTCGTCAACCCTGCGGCGAGCTTTCCTCTGGCCAACAATCAATTCCAGCAGCAACAGAACATGTTCCAACAGCCGGCGCAGCAGCAACCCGCACCTCTACAGTCAAACTTTACCGGTGCCGGCTTTGGCGGCTTCACGCCGCAACCGCAAAACAACTTTCAGCCCGGCTCCCTGGGGCCTATTCCCCAAAACGGGACGGCCAATTTTCAGGGCCAGAACTTCATACAACAGCCTCCGCAGCAGCCACAGATGCCGGGTCAGTTGATGCCCATGCAGACTGGCACCACCAATCCCTTTAGACAATCGATGATGATGGCGCAGCCAACCGGCATGCAAAACTTTATGAACCAGCAGCCAATGCAGCAGCAGCAGCCTCAGCCTCAGCCTCAGCAACCCCAGCAAACAGGCTTTGTCGCTCCTGCTCTGAACCGACAGTCGACAAATCCCTTTGCCAAGTCTGTGTCCCCCACCAACAACAACTCGCCGTTCCAGTCGCAGGCGCCCGCTCCGCTGCAAGCCACACCGACAGGTACCAACCCGTTTGCTCGAAACGTGCCTCAGCAGCAGCAAGCTCCTCCGATGCCCGCCATGCCCGGCCAGCAGCAGCAACAAGCTAGTGCGCTCGCTCCTCAGCCGACCGGCGTCACCAATCCCTTCCGTCAAGGCGATTTCGTAAATCACGCGACCGGCATGGGCTGGCAGCACAACCAAACTCCTATTGGCGGCGGTCTCGACCAAATCCAGACTGTGCCCATCTTTCCTCGCCCGGCGCAGCAATCTCCTTGGCAGTAACACGACAGTCTATTTCACACTCGCTACAATCAATACTGTTATTTTTTTTTCCTATTGTTAAACAGCGCGGCGTTTCTGCTTTTTCCTGTATTTTGGCATATACGGCTGATGGAACTGGTGAGAGGGCGATGTTCCATCCGTGCCCAGAGAAGAGCGAAAGAGGAGGCAGCAGGCTGCGTGTAGTGTGAATCTGGGACTTGCTCGATGGAGGTTGAGAAGGGAACAAGACGAGAGATAATGTATGTTTAGCGTTTGAATATAGTCTATCAGGAATATAACTACCTATGCGTCACGCCTAGACATAGCGGGAGAATGTAGTAAATGTGTATAGTGAAAGATTAATATCATTCAACTTTTTGTCATGTAGCAAGCCAGTTTGCACCAAAAAAGAAGATGCTCAAAACGCCAGTCTCTAGTATACTTGTTTTCCGAAACACGCCCTCAAACGCCAAAATATGCAATATGCGAAAGCTGCCCTGAAAAAACATGGTGATCCTTTTCTCGTCACGACGAGTCATCCATATCCACAGCACCACCACCACCACCACCAGCCACGGCCTTTTTGCTCAGCCTGTCCTTTTCCTCATCCACAAAGACGCCGAGACCCGAAAAGGTCTCGAACAGTGCCCTCGTCAGGTACTCGTCCGGGCTGTAGCCGCCGACCGTGTAGTCGTGCTTGGTCCGGGTCACGTCGAGCCACTCGCTGCTATACTCGGCCAGCCGCTGCGGCGCGAGGTCGACACGCTGCGGTGCGAGGTCCAGCCCGCCATACGGATCGTAGGGTTTGTTGCTCGCGGCCGCCGCGTCGGCCGCCGCTGCCTTTTTATCGCGCAGACCGCGGATGGACAGCGCCGAGGCCGGATCCAGCGCCGCCGCCGCCGCCGCCGCGCCGCGACCCAGGTGGTTCTGGCCGCCGCGCTTCTTGAGGATGACCTTGTTCACGACCTCGGTCGCGTGGCCGACATCGGCGCTCTGCAGCGAGTCAAGCATCTCCTCGCGGAACCGCGCCGCCGTGGCCTTTTCGTCGGCCTCTTCCCGCAGATCCTGCAGCCGCCGCTGCCGCGCCGTCTCCTGCTCCGCCGCCAGCCGCTTCTGTCGGGCCTCGTCCGACTCCTTGGCGAGCCTGCGGTTGCGTTCAATCTCAGCCTTGTGCTGGGCTTCCCAGTCGGCGAGGCGCGCCTCGGCCCGCACGCGCGCCGCCTCGGGCCCGTTGACGAGATCGTCCGTCAGGCACTCAACCATGTACAGGTAGTCGTTGTAGCTGTCGAGCGATTCAAAGTCGTCCTCGACATTGTTGAAGACGGTGGCAACGCGCCGCCGGATGTCGACCTCGCGCTCGACGGCCAGGTCCCCAAAGTACGCCGCCTTGAAGCCGCGCAGCCGCAGCGTCTTGTGGCACCCCGCGTAGGGGCACTGGTTGGGGCCGTCTTTGAAGATGCGCTCCACGCACGTCTTGCACATGCGGTGGTAGCACTCGGTGTTGATGCGGAATTCCATGTCCTTGTTGAAGTAGCGCGTCGTCTTGCACACCGGGCACGCCTCGTCGTCGTCGCCCGCGGGTGGCAACCCGTTGCCATTAGACTGCCGCAGCGACACGGCCATGGTTCCTTGAAATTGTAGCAGTTTAAATGTTCGAGAGAGGTAAAAAGCCCGACTTCAGTGTTTTGAGAGTTTTGGCAACGCGTCCTGTATAATCGGGGACCAGCACGGCTGCGATCGTCTCGCCGTGGTCGGTAGTTGTTGGAGGTTCGGAAGCAAGCTTGGGGCTGAGGTGCACAGGCAGACTTCTGGTCCACTTTTGCCACGCCAAGTTTACGACCACCACGAACGGTTCAGTGTCGTGGTGTATACTGCATAGCAATGTGTACATCAATCTTTCATGTCGAAAATCCCGTTATTTTCAATGCTATCTAGCATAGGTTCCCTTTCAATAAAGTGTCACATATTCAGCATACATATTATGGCACCTTAGCAAATATGGCACTTGCTTGTAAGCTGTTCTGAGCTATAAAAAACAAAAAACACAACCATCATGCCCGAGAATTGGTGGTTCTTTTCAGAGTCGTCCTTCGAGCAGTGACCAGATGAACAGGCATTCTATTTTTAACCATCATAACTCATTTCAACATAAAGTCGTATAGCGCCGTCATCCATGCTACATTGGTCAGCGCGGGTTGTGGGGTCGCTGCCCCTCCAAGATCTCGAGCTTGCCAGCTTCGAGTGCCTTCCACTTGCACCCCTCAACTAAACAGCAACTTTACAAGCATGGCAGACAAAGGTGCGCACGTAACCCTTTTGTGTCCGCGCAAGGCTAATGCCCCCGAATACATCTTGAAATAAATACTAATGCAAATGGCAGAACCCTCGCCGGCCGAAGACGCCGCCGCTCGCGCCCGTGAGCTCGAAGAGCAGGCCACCCTGCCATACAAGTGGACGCAAACCATCGGCGAGCTCGACATCAACTTCATTGTCCCCGGAAACATGAAGTCACGCGACCTCGTGGTTGACATCCAGAAGCTCAAGCTCACTGCCGGTATCAAGGGCCAGGAGCCCATCGTCAACGTGCGCCGCCTCTCCACTGAAACCTCTGCTTCTGTACTGACTCTTGATAGGGCGACCTGCCTCACGCTATTCGCGTAGACGAATCGACCTGGACGCTCTCCACCAACGCGGACGGGACCAAGACGGTCGAGATCCACCTCGACAAGGTCAACAAGATGGAGTGGTGGGCACACGTCGTGACCGGCGCCCCCAAGATTGACGTGACCAAGATCCAACCCGAAAACTCCAAGCTGTCCGACCTCGACGGCCAGACACGCGGCATGGTCGAAAAGATGATGTTTGATCAGCGACAAAAGGAGCAGGGCCTGCCCAGTTCCGACGAGCAGAAGAAGGCTGATATCCTGAAGAAGTTCCAGGAGCAGCATCCCGAGATGGATTTTAGCAAGGCCAAGATGTCCTAGTTGATGTGGTCGATTTGGCATAGCAGGCGTTTCGATAAATATACCAAGTTTCTGTTGAAATCATCTAGACTCGAGCACTGCGGCAGCGCGTTCCAAAAAGGCATTGAAGTCTTGAATCTGATGTAGGAGGCCACCGGTCGGGCCGTTGCTGCTCGCCTGTTCTGCCACCTGGGAGATGATGAGCTCTAAATTGCCAAGCTCAGCTTCTTTGCGGGCGCGCGATGATAATTCAGCGGCGTCTCGGCCCCGCTCGACGGCTAGGTCAATGTCGTGCATGAGGTTTGAAGCATTCAAGCGATGCTATGCAGTTCTTTAGCGTGATGCCGGTAGATTTCATGTATTCCATACATACCTTGGAGTCGCTGCTATCTCTTTCGCTGCGAGCGCGTACGCCGTCCATGCGGAGGGCGACTTGCTCCTTTTCGGCCTTGAGACGAAGAATTTCTTTTCGTAGCACAAGCTTCTGTTTCTGCACATGCCGAATGCGTTTTCGCAGCGAGTACCAATGATTCAAGTAGATGGACTAGCAAGCTGTAAGCAAAAGAGTCGACGGAGACTGTGCGGGCGAGGTGCACATACATGCTGCAGCAGCTGGGCGCTGACTTCTTCGCGAAAGGCCTCTATGGCGCGCATCTTTATGCGGCAGTCCCTCTTTTTTTCTTCGTCCTGCGTCTCCTGGCGCAGATACTCGTACTTTCCTAGAGTCGTGGCGATGACCTCCTCGCAGACCTGGGCGAAGACATCGACGACCGTCTCGCTGTTGCGGTTGGTGAGCGCCATCTCGCCCTGGGCCTCCTCGTCGCTCTCGGCATCGGGGCCGTTGACGAAGCGCTGCACCGTAATATCAATGACACCGTCATCGGCGCTGCCCGCGCGGGCACTGTTGGCGCGCTGCGCAGGCTCTTTGCGTGGGCGACTGGATTTCTTATTCTGGCCTTCGGCCGCATGACGCCGCTTGGGCTGGCGCTGTACCGCTGGCTCTCTACGTGACTGCGTACGAGGCCGTTTGGGTGCCGGGTGTTCCTCGGCGGGCTCGGCGGGCTCGGCGTCGGATTCTTCGGAGCCAAGCTCCGGGGACGGCTGGAAGCTCACGCGGGGCCTCTTTTGGCCGATGATGGCAGCCGCGGCCCGATCACCAATTTCTTCGGCTTCGTCTTCCCCGGCGGATGGGGGCTCAGGAACGGGGCTCCTCGCGGGCGAAGTCCTTTGTGCTGGTCGAGGCACTCTTGGTGGTGGCATCAGCTGCGCATCATCGGATTCGCCTAGGGATTCGGTCCCGGATGGCACAGCTGGGCTAGGGGTTTTTCGCGGTGAGGTTGGAGCCGGACTATGACGAGAGGGTCGATTGAGAGACGGCAGGGAAATGGGCTGGATAGGATCCGACTCTAACGCAATCCTCATGCGAGTCGAGTTTGCCGAGGCTTCTTGCACGGGGACTCGACGACGGTGTCCACTGCCGGGGGCGTGGATCGGGCTCTCGGTGACTTCTTCATCGTATGGCGCTAGCGGTCGAGGGCTGGATCGAGGAACTTGCGTTCTATTCGAAGAGGCCGCCGGCTGATTCGGCTCGGAAGGGGCAGACGGACTCCCTGGGCTATAGCGAACTTCGGCGCTTGGTCGAGTCGCGGGTAGAGGTGAGCTGGGTTGGGCAAACGGCTCGCCGATGCCCTCGATATCGAGGTTGAAGTCGTCGCTTCCGACATCTGCTCGACTGGCATGAAATTAGAGGATATGTGGGACAAAGTCACTATGAGATGGCTTACCCAGCACCGCGAAGACGTTCATTCAGCCGTTGAGCGCGGTCTTGCGGTTGTTGGTCAGGCTCCTCGTTTCCAGCCTCGGCTTGACTATGAGTGAGGTTAGAACGTGTGTGGAACAGTGACCGTGAGGTGACGTACGCAGAGCCGCGAGGAGGTTCGTCTAACCGCTGCACGCGGTCTTGTGGTTCCTGATCAAGATTGAAGCTCTCGTTTCCGACATCTGCTCGACTGGTACTGAGGTTAGAACATGCATACATTGAAAGCAGAATGACGTACCCGGCTCCGCGAAGACGTTCATTCAGCCGTTCAGCGCGGTCCTGTAGTTGCGGATCAAGGTTGAACTCGTCGCTTGTGACATTTGCTCGACTGCGAGTGAGGTTAGAAAGTGCACGGGCATAGTGGCTGTAGAAAGAAAATACGTACCCAGCACCGCGAAGACGTTGATTCAAGCGCTGAGCGCGATCTTGAGGGTGACCAAAATTTAGTACTATGACCTCGAACAAGATGAGGTTATGACAAACCTGTCTCCATGGTAGTAGACGAGTCAGGCGAGACTCATTACGTGATGACCATCCGGAAAAGTGGCGGGGGTTGTTCGGTGCTGGGTTCTGTTTGGCGATGGCACTTTGTGAGACGCGCTTGGGATGGATCAAGATGAAGTGACGCGTTTATTGAGCCAGGGCGGCCAGTGAAGGCTCCAGCGCTGCCGTTGGGTGGACCAGACAGTACAAGTGCCTTAATTGCTCGCTGAGATGGGGCTTGTTGCCGTGGGCCTTGCAAGCAGCAACCACTAAAGAGTGCACTAGATCACAAAACACTAGCGGACAATGATGAAAGGTGGTACATCAAGTCTCGCGAGAGCTTCATGTGAAGGGATTTGGAATATGGCAAGATCTTGCATTGTCTGTTGATGTGGGAGTTGGGAAGTATACATAGAGCTGCCGAGCTCGTATGTTTTAAGCTTCGTCGCAGGCCGGACGGCTCATGACTGTATGTGCAGTTTATTCCGGGCCTTGAGCCTGCGACTTTTATGGCGGGTGTCTTGGATATCCTCGCGCAACTGCATGAACAGGGCATTCATCATCACGCCGACATGAACCCGGCAGTGTGGATGGGGGTCGAGATGAAGGAATTCCAGTACCACCTGAAGAGGAACATGGAGGGCAATATGTTGGTGGATGAGTACATGAGGTTCCACGAGAAGTATAAATACTTGGTGACGATGCGTAACTTGTTATTTGAATACCTAGTACGAATTAAATATTCGTGATTGACCTGTCTCAGACTTACAAGAGGGAGAGGGAGAGGTTTGAGAGGGTATTGTACCCCCAGGACTTACGTATGCCCGGTCAAGCTAGGTATCCACCCAACAAGGTACATGTACTTGCCTGCAGCTGGCCTGCATCTGTGCCGTCACCACTATAATCTTGCCCCGATTCACGGCCGCGCTCAGCTGGGCGCTCAGCTGGGCCTTCCCCCGGCCCCCACCCTGCCAACCAGCCCTCGCTGCCAACGTCGCCTCTTTCATGACACCAAAGCTAGCTGTCGCAGGTGACACAGCTGTCCTCTCTCCTCATCCATCGCCATCCCCTGCTGTTGCGCATCTTTGATCCGTCTGGGCCTGGCCATATTGACCATCCAGTATCTGCATCATCTCGCACAACTCACAGTGCCCTCTTCGCCTCGACATCTCCCTCGCTGTGCGCACACCGACGCCCCAGCCTCTCCATCATGGGTGCCTGGAACGCAAGTCGCTTCCATCCAGACGGTCAATCACCACTTCTTCCTGCTAATAATTTCTTGTAGATTTTTCGCATCCTGGGCGACCTGAGCCACATGGCGTCCAAAGGAATCCTCATCTTTGCCATTCACAACAATCGCAGCGCCGAAGGCGTCTCTCTCATTACGCAGATTCTCTACGCCCTCGTCTTTTGCACCCGATACCTCGACCTCTTTCGCACAACTTCAGCATGGAACGTCATCTTCAAAATCGTCTACATTCTGACTTCATTCTACATTCTCGGCGTTATGCAATGGGTCTTTCCTCGCTCCCGCGAAAGAGAGCTGTCCTGGAAGCTCGGTGCTATAATCCTCGGTGGCTCTGCTGCTCTGTCCCCATTCGTTATGCTTGCCTTGATGGCCAAGGATAAATGGGGCTTTTTTTCAGTAAGTCAAAAACGTCGACATGGCGTTGACAAAACTGACAATCTGCGCAGTGGATGTGGTCCTTTTCCGAGATTCTCGAGTCTGTCTGTGTCCTTCCCCAGCTTCTCCTGCTCCGCCAAACGACTGTCCCTACCGTTATCGACTCGTTCTACCTCGTTGCGCTCGGCTCCTACCGAGCCCTATACTGCCTCAACTGGTTCCTGCGCATGTTTGACGACCACAAGCCAGAGGCTATTTCAGTCATTTTTGGCATTATTCAAACCGCTCTCTACGCCGATTTCGCTTGGGTCTACTACACTCGCCAGCGCGTAAAGCTGCGCGGTGGCGGTGTTGTAGATGCCGACGACTTGCGCAATGGCTGGCTAGTCCAGCGCATCTTTGGCCGTACTCTTGGTCAACACAACGAAGAGCACGACGAGGAGGCTGGCCTCAACAATGACGAGCAGCGCGGCGGCCGGCCCAAGTGGGGATCCCGTGGCATCTCAGTCAGCGCCGACGAGGGCGTCTTTGAAGACGAGGAGCATGGAGAGGGCTCCCAGGGGTTGGATGACGCCGTGGATCCTGATGCCAAGATGCAGGATCCTGATGACCTTGCCAAAGCGCTCGACGACGATGATGAAGCTGAAGATGCACCTCTTCGCGGACAGTCATCCAGCCAAACGCCAGCTGGTATCCGTGGGGGTGATGAGTGGAGAGATTAGATTTTGCATGTAAAGGATTATATGCCGCTTTGGGTATGGTAATTTCCTTCAAAGGATACGGAAGGGGGCTTTGTTTTTCCTGCGATATGTAAAGTACGTATAGCTTGATAGTTAGCCATGGGATAGGAGTAGAGGTTCGAATGGATTACTGTTCACACGGATACACGTGCGAGTTAGATTTGCCTGTTGCGAGTTTCGTACTAATGAAGAGCATCCCCGCGTGAATTGGCAAGTAAAGCTGCTGAAAATACGTGTGTTATACATATTATGTACTAGCGGTGCTATGTGCAAAGACGAATATGGCAAAATGGGCCTTTGACCTCCAAATACTCCGAGATGATGCGTGCTATCGCCGTCCGAGAGGTTCTCAGAGCCCCATGTATATACGAAATCGAACCAAAAAAAACTCCAAAAGTATAAAGAATACCCCCATGTTAAAACTTCAATCGCAACGCTAAATGTCAATTGTAAAAATCACCTCCAGTCAGGCTCTGTAAGGGCACCTCTTCTCCCTCCTTTAAAACCGCGAATGCAGTTGTCGGGGTATATCCAGCGACGCCGAGAAGCCCGCTCTTAGGTAATCGGGCTCGAGTGGCGGCATAAACAAGTAGTGACGACCCAGAAACTGCTCGTGTTGCGGCGGCAACGTCGTCTGCTGGGGCACCATCGGCGGGCCGCCCCTGCCCCCTTCCTCGCGTCGTCGCGGCGCCGCCGAAAGAATAAGAATCGGGGGCCGCTGCCAACGCGGCGCTGCGGCCGGATACGGCGGAGGCGCGTCGGCGGCCGGTGGGGGCGGGAGCTGCGCGGGCGGCGGGACGGCAACGTCGGGGACCCGCTCGTAGGTGGGCGGCGCGGCGCCGTCTTCCATGTCGCGCAGCTGAAGTCCGTGGTACTCGATCGTCTCCGAGGTGGCGTAACCGAGGCGGCGCAGACGGCGGTTCAGACGCTCAATGTGGTGGCGGTGGCGGTGGCGGCGATCGCTGCGCTCGGGGGAGGTAGAGCGGGAGCGAAAGAATTCGCTGCTGCAAATGTCGTCGGTGGAAGATGTAGAGGTGGACGTGGAAGTAGTGGTGGCGGCGCGTGGAGAGCGGCGGAGCTGGGAGCGAAGACGGCGTGATTCAAGAATGGAGGCTATTTCTGAGGAGGGTCGCCGACGGTTGTCGCGGTCGGGCGAGGCAGAGGAGGATGGGTCGGAGGGAGCGGCCGCCGTGGTGAAGGGGAGCGAGGATGATGTTTCGGCGGGAAGCACTTGTTCGTTGTTTTCTTGTGGTTCGTCTACAGCGTGGTGTATATGTTGCTGCGTTTGTTCTTCTTGAGTGCTCGCCTGTGTCGGTTCCTCGCGGCTCCGTGTTCCATTACCACTCTGTTGACTTGTCCCATTCCCTACGCCAATACTTGCCGATTGTCGCATTGATTCTCTGCTGCGTCCCGGACCCCCATTCTCTTCCTCGTCCTCGTTCTCGTCCTCGTCCTCGTCCTCTTCAATCACATGCTCATTCGCAGTACCCTCAGACGTCACCTTGTTGCGCCTTTCGGCAATATACGGCGGCGGCGCCTCGCCCAGTTCATTGAGACCCTCGTTGGAGCGCAGAAACCACCAGTTAAAGGCTAAGCTTGCAGACGGCCAGCGGTCCGCCGCGCTGCCCGTGTCGGCGCCGCGACGATACTCCTGCATCTGCGCCTCGCCGCCGTCACCGTTGCTGTCCAAGGCGTGCCGCCGGCTGCGGCGCCGTTGAATATAGGCAAACAGGCCGACGAGGAAGACGGAGGCGAGCGTGACGAGCGGGATGATGACGTAGGTGAGGGGCGAGACATTGTTGCCCGGCGTGGCAGAAGTCGTCGACGTCGTAGCGGGTGGCGGTTCTGCTGCTGCGGACATGGTTTGAGGAGGATTCTTGCTGCTGTCATGTAGAAGAGAATGAATGATGTGAAAGAAGGACAAAAGAGAGGACCGAGTGCAAAAATGTCGGAGATCTCGGCAGAAAATGATTGGGCAATTGAATACTGGTTTCAAAGCTCGATGGGTATTTCTTAGCACAGATTTGGAATACTTGTTGATGCAAGCCTGCTTGGCAGATTGGGTCGATGTCGTCACAAGTCGGATAGGTCGGAGCCAAAATAGGCAAATCTCGGTGGTGAATGAGCCGGTGCGGTACCAAACTGCCGGCGCGAAGATGCAAGGCAGAAAACAACAGCGTAATTATGAGAATGGTAGAAACAAATGCACAATCCTGTAGAAATGGGCACAATTTCGAATGACTTGAAACACGACTAAAAAGGAATCGCCACAGGCGCCTAATTGGCCAAAGTTTGTTATTTGCCCCCTCGTTGCCGTTGTGGTTCAGACGTACGTCACACGGCTGCTGCTGCGTCGGTATAAAAGGAACGAAGAAAACGCCGAATTCCTTTGAAGGGTCACGAAGCCGGCGGGTAGAGAAAGGGAGAGCAGAGAAGTTTGAGTCTCCAGGAGAAATGGCAAAGAGGAGGAGGGAGTCCGCCGCAGAGGAGCAGCGTCAAAGGCAGGAACTCGGATCGAAGAGGAAGGGATGATGGAATGGGAAAAGGGAGAAGGCGTTGGCTTTGCTTTTCTAAAGGGGGTTGAATTGCCGCGGAGGGCTTTTTAGAAACGTGGAGGTTGAGAGTCCCGCGGGGTTGAACTATAAGAAAACAACCTACGACGACCCAGCTTGGACATCCGAGCCCGCACGAGAGGGAGGAGGAGCTGGTTTTTAGCTACGCTAGGAAAGAGAGGACTAAAAGGAGATGGGCCAGCATGTAGGTACACGCGGAGGAGGGGGTGTGGGCTTGTGATGAAGCCGTTCCCCGATTCCCAGCATCGGCTTGACGGTATCCCCTGCTATTGGGGGACGGTGGTGAAGACGGAGGTGTGTGGATACAAAACGGCAACGAGGAGGCTCTATTAGAACTTGGGTCAGTCAAGTACCGATGGGTGCTAAAAACAAGGGTGCGCCGTTTTTCTTGATACTATGGAGTATGGCCATGCTAATATGTGATGTTGGAGAGGTGGTGTGGGTGGCCTTGTTAGTGGGGAGAGGGCGTGGGAAATGGATTCACACAGGCGACAAAGGAGGGGGTGAGGTTTGGTGTGCCGCTTATTATTGACGCAGGCCAAAAGTACTGAGTGATCTGGGATGTGGCTTTATTTTTTTATCTTCTTTTTTGCTCTTGTGTGGTTCGTGGCGAGAGAGTTGCAATTTGCGAATGTGCAGTCTTAGGATATACAGTTTCAATGTCGGAGCTGAGAAGCGAGGCTCGAACGAACGATCCAGGCCTTGGGGTGCAAAAGTTTAGACTTTGACGCTATCCTTTATCCTTTGCCACGAGACCTAGCTGACGTTGCAGCAAAAGATTATTTAGATGGCAAGTTCAACATTAACGGGCGTAAAATTCAGGCGAACAACGAAATGATGAGACAAAGAGCAGAGCCAACAAGGAAGAATGAGCAAGTTTAAAAAAAAAAGATCAAGTCATCATTTTGAGCCGATTTGACGCTTGCCGCGCATGCATGCATGAACAAGTGAGACAGGCAGGCAGGCATGCTGCCACGGGTTGCACGGGTCTCCGGTCCAGCTGGGGCTTACCGGTTCCAGTGGTGAGGCTGGGCGAGGCGGCTTGCGCCAAGATGCCAACTGGCTGGCGATTCACAAAAAAGTTTGGTGGGCCATTATTTTGCCCGCCTTAACTTGGTTGCTTTTATCGAATTACGCGCCATCGCTTCAATCTATTGACAGAGGAGGCGTCGGCCCACACACATTCAGTTCATTCAACACGGCCGACGGAAGAACTGTTGGAAAAAGTTTGGTGATTGAGCTGCAAGCCACTTTTGTCAAAACTAATAAGGTCGAGGTAGTGGAGGGGGGGCGGTGATGGTCAGGCGAGGCCAGCTGAGAAACGCCACGTTCTTCTTGGCTGTGTGTGTGTTTGGTCCTTTGTGCGTTTGCAGAGGCAACGCGAACGAGTTGGTCAAAAAGGCCGAGTACCAAAAAGGCTTGGCTGAGTAAAGGCCAAGAGAGGTTCTCGGCGACGTTGAAGCTTGTTCAAGTGTGTTGCCATTCGGCATGAAATATTCGTGCTCGTCATCAATCTACGCAGGTTTGGTTATGTGGACGAGGCAAAACAGGCACCGGCACTTGTCAAGGCGGCCAAGCAAGATTCCGAATAACAAATGCGGGTTCGCTGCTGTTGTACACGGGTGAAACGGCAGCGAGGTGGTGTGTGCCTGGAAGCATAATGGTGACAGCATTATGCATGGTCGATGGATTCTGATAATATGGTGCAGGAGTTTCTTTTTTTTTTGTTCTCGTTTTTCTTCCTAATTTTCTGCCTCTTTTCTTGCACTTTTGCTTGAGAGAGTTGCACAATTGCGGCGTAGCAGCCGTGAGCAATTGAGCCAGGTCTCCCCTGTAATGGTAGCGGTTGACAGCTTGCAGTGACGGTTGGAGGCGGCACAAGACATTGACTTATGATTATCCTCTCACTGTTATACTCGCTCTGGTTACCGACAAGGGGCCTATATTGCATCTTCTAAACCATTGAAATGCCATACCTCCCTATTCAGAATTAAATTTACCGGTCCCATCATATCCCGCAAAAAGCATCAGCGCGGTCTATGCATCAGATCCACTGGCGAGAACCGTGATGGAGTCAACTCATCCTCCACCACCTTAGTCATCACTAGACTCATCACTGACGGCCGAAATTCCTCCATCACCATTCTCAAACACCACAACATATGCTATTTACAGCGCCGCATCCACATTTAACTGCAGACACCCCTGTTACGATTCCACATCCGACGCCGCTATCCGCGACCTCATCACATTACAACCTCTCACCTCATCCTCCGACCCTTACTTCCATCCGCTCCATCGCCGCTACTACCAACACACACTACTCACCACCACCGTCTTCCACTCGCCGCCTATCATCGACTCCATCCAGCGCCAGCTTGTTTCTCGGGCACCCACCCGCCTGGCGCTTCCTCGGGCCGGCCCATCCACTGCAGGCTTCCTTTTCTCTTTCAATCCCACCGCACCATCTCGCTCTCCAGATCAAACACCATACTCCAACATTGCACAAACGAGAAGCCATCATGCCTCGTGCCATAAGAAGTATGCGCCCCTCGAGCTTCTTTCTTCCAGTTCCATCGTTGGCTTACCATCTTTGCCCTGTCAGGCGTCCTCATCGAGTGCGATCCCTCCATCAAGTCCATCATTGTCAACATTGACAGCGAAAACCACGACTTTATCATCGAGGACCTTGACGAAGAGCGCGTCGTTGTCAAGGAGAATATGGTTCCCTTGCTCAAGCAAAAGCTTGAAGATGTGCGCATGTCATGTCTTGTCTGGAGTCTACATGCTAACTAGTCGCAGCGTCTCAAGGAAAACTTGCCTCCGATCGACGAATCGGGCTCTGAATAATACCACGATACAATATTCCCACGTTTCAAACATGAACGTATCACATAACGTCACATGTACATTTGTGACAAACACCAAAAGCATTCCGAGGCGTTATACTGCATTGTTTCCGTATATCTATACCCAGTTTCTAACAATACATCGTGTTCCACATATTTTTACAACTTGGAAAACGTCGGCTTCTTCTTTTGCATGCTGCTCATCATGGCCGTGACAAAATCCTCGCCCTGCAGGGCCACCGAGTTCCATACTTGCGTGTACCGAAGACTATCGGCCACCGAGTGCTCCTTGCCGTAGTTGAGTAACTCCTTGGTGCCCTGCACCGCTACGGGGCTCTTGGAGGCCAGCAGGGTCGCCAGACCGAGGCCCGCCTCGACCGCCCTGGCCTTGTCCGCGTGCACCTGGCTCACGAAACCCTGCGCCAGCGCCTCGGCCGCTCCAAAGTCACGGGCCGTCATGCACACGTCCTTGACCCACGACAGCGAGCCGACGACCTTGGGCAGCCTCGCCAGGGTGCCAATGTCGGCTGCCAGGCCAATGTCGACTTCCTTGACGGCGAAGCGCGTGTTGGCGGCGCAGATGCGAATGTCGGCGCACGTGGCAATGTCGATGGCGAGGCCAATGGCGACGTCGTGGAGGACCGCAATGACGGCTAAACGATGTTAGCACTACATTTCACATAGGGACGTAGTCCGCAAAATAATTGAAAGGGGGGGGAATAGAAAGAGGAGAAAACGCACGCTTCTCGCACTTTTCCATGGCGGAAATGCTCGTCTGAAACTCTTCAATGTGATTGCGCAGCAGCTTGGCGCGGCGCACCTCGTCGCCCTCGGCCGTCGTCAGCGGTGAGTCGCCCGCGGCGGCCTTGACGTCGAGCCCCGACGTGAAGGCGCGGTCGCCGACGCCGCTCAGCATGGCGACGCGAAACTGCGCATCGACGCTGATTTGTTCAAACACGCGACCGTACTCGAGCCACACGGGCTGCGAAAAGGCGTTGAGGCGCTTGGGGTTGTTGATTTCGACGTGGGCGACGTACTCGGCGGGCGAGGTCACGCGCATGTACTGGTAGGACTCGTAGGCGGGAACGACGGACATGTTGTGGGTGATGATTGTAATTTTTTTTCTTGCGATTTTAGATGAGAAAAAACATGAAGAAGATATGCCGAGAGAATTGAAGAGCGGTTTTGGGGGGTCGCGAGGTGGAATGGGAAAAAGGTTGAAATCTCGAGTGACACGGGTAATTGATGCCGAGGTTGGAAAGCGGGACACGGCGCCGGCTTGCCCATCTCATCTCGTCCGGTCCCTGCACCCACATGTGCGCGTGCCGGCACGTTCTGTAGGGGATTAGATTTGGGCGATGCAATACAAGTGTTTTTTTTTTTTTCAAGATGGTCATGTTTATTACTTTTCGTTATGATGAAGTAATATGCACATGCTGATAGTCTCGCCGTTTGACTGCTCACCGTCCCATGTGGTTGTGCCTCATGGGTGGGCTTGCGAGGAATAGGTGCTTGCGTTGCATTACAGGAGTCGACTTTTACTGATTCTCGAAAAGAAAAAGGATATATACTAAAGAAAGGAAGAAAAAAAACTATAAAAAGTCGAGAAGAATGCCAGAATTAAATCGAATCAAGTTGCGCAAATCAGCCAGAGCGCCCAACATCGAGCGCCCAACACCATGGCCAACCGTGAATAAGAGCAAGACAAAAAATTCGTATTGTTATGACTCTTGTAAAAACTCGTGCTTCTCACAAGGCTGGTGTGTCTTTTTGGCCAAAGACCATGTAAAGAAAAGAAGAAGAACAAAAGAAGCCGAGATCGTGATAGTGACGGGCAAATAGCTGCTCACAACACCAGCATGCGGCTAGTCCTTCCCTAGTTTACAAGATACAAAGATGGAATAATACTTTTGCTGCTCAGTTTTTTTACTGCTTGTCATGGTCATTTCCTCACCGTTTGCCTGTAACGTCGTCTTCCGAAACTAGGTAAAAAAGCTCTCGCTGCAGAGTGTGTTGCGAATAAACGGTATTGTGGTTGTTTTGAGCCGGCCACATTCTGCCAAACGTCCCATTGTTTTCATTGTATCTATTCGCGCCCATCATCAACTGATCAAGACTATTTATAAGCCAAGAACTTGCACGGCACGCGCGGGTTTCGCAGTGCCGTCACCACCGACCAGTCTGCCCACTTTGCATCGAGGCCTACCTCCAATCCGGGAGCTCATTCTCGAGACCACCCGCAACAGTGGAGGGAATGTGCGGGGGGAAGCTGTTTACTGGTTCAGCCCTGTTTTACCCTTTTTTTTTTCTTATTTTTTTTTTTTGCCCTATTTTACTTAAAGCCGAAAGTCCTCTGCGTCGGTCGTAACTGAGTTGGCTCCGAGAGACTTGAGCACGCACCCACTTCTATCTAATGTATCCTGTGCGTTGTATTGGCGACGCGGTGCCCGAGGGTTAACAAGGCCGACCAATCTGCCGTGTGCGTTAACACGCCGTCTATTTTTTTTTCTTTTCTACAGGTTGTGCACAGGCTGCAAAGGTGACAAATTCTTGACTATTTCACTAACCCGAATACGAGAGTGGTGTCGTGCCCCGCCGCGTCGGCATGGGTTGCTGCCATTGTCATCCGTCTTGGTCGTCTCGTAAGTATGGATGACTGATGCTTTGTGACTGATACTTTGATGTTTCCTTTTTCCTTGGTGCATTGACTTCAGCCTGCTTTTTGGAGGATACGAAATCGGGATGCCGATCCCATCATCGACGCCGCCAAACTCCGCAGCTGTGTCCTTGCAAAAGTTTTCAACAAACTCGGGCATTTCATCAATCATTCGATTTACAAATAGAATTTAGAATCAGAAATCCCATTGCTTGTTTGCCTAGATCGTATATTCATTCGGTAGTAATTGCTGACCTTTCCGCTTAACAATCAAAATCATACCCTTCCCTTTCCCACCCCACCTCGTCCCGAAGGTCCCGAAGTTAAAGACCCCCCCAGGCCCCCACCAGGACTTGAAAGCTTCCCGGAAGCATCTGGCCGACGCTACCGACCGCCAACTTGATACCTAGCCTCTTCTTCGCCAAACGACCAAATCAACGGCTTCTTTTTTTTTTTCTTCCCTCCTCTATCTTCTTCCAAACTTGCCTTGTCTTTTTGCCAATCTTAACCCTTTTTTTTTTGGCCGGCTCCAGACGCGAGTCCCAAGATCTGCTTCTCGTGCATATCAGACGTAAAAAACGACCAATTACACAGCACACACAAACGCACACAAACGCACATCAACCCACCATGCCGCGACGCCGCAGCAGCACCGCCGACCGCGAGGTCCAAGTCGAACTCGAGCCCTTCCATGACGACACATCATCCTCTTCCTCATCTCCCACATCTCCCGACGACCATCCCGACTCGCCCCTTCTCGAAACTACGCCGCCTTCCACCTCCTCCTCATCATCATCATCCTCCTCCTCCTCCTCCGTGCCGAAATGGCTCTCACCACCGCCCTACGCTTCCCACCGGGGCGCCACCCGTCACCTCCTCCGCCTCGCGCACCTTCTTCGTCCACGCCGTTCCTGGCGCTCCCTCATCTTCCATCTCGTCGCTCTCTACGCCCTCGTGTGCTTTTTCCGCGGCGAGCCCTTTTTCGCCTCCAACCTCCCCCATCCTTCCCACCTCGACGCCTCCGCCTCCTATTACGATGTCGGCACCGTCGACGTCGAGGTGCCCCTCATCCAGCCGCGCCGCCTCTCCGACACGGCGCTGCGGTCCTCTGGCCAGCCCGCCTACCTCCTCGAGTCTGTCCTCTTTAGCCTACACTACCCTGTTGCGCCGGGTGCCCGTGCCGCCTCCTCCTCGCCCCCTCCGCATCCCTGGCTCTCGCGGCCCGTCAGCCTCACCGCCGCCGGCTTTGCGCGCCTCGCCCACGCCGACATTTTTTTCCTGCGACCCATCTTTACTTTTTTGCTCTGGGCCGTTGCCGGGCGCGTCGAGATTCGCGCCGCGGTCGATGCCCCGCTGCTGCTGCAGACGGCCACCGACAGCAGCAGCAGCAGCAGCAATAGCAACGACACGAGCTTCCCAGTCATCGTCTTTTCCCACGGCATGGCCTCGTCGCGCACAGACTACACGGCCTATCTCGGCGCGCTCGCCGCCCGCGGCCACGTCGTCGCCGCCCTCGAGCACCGCGACGGCAGCTGCCCCGGCACGCGCGTCCAGATCAAGGGCAAGCCGGACCGCGACGTTGTGCACTTTGACGCCCGCCACGTGCTGTCGACGCCGCCCATGGACACGGCGACGATGAAGAAGGAGCAGTTGGCGTTTCGCGAGGCCGAGATCCAAGAGGCCATCAAGACGCTGCTCGCCATCAACGACGGCCACGGCCGCCAGGTCTACGACCAAAACTCCCGCGGCGAGGGCACCACCCTCCAGGAATGGACCGGCCGCCTCGACTTTTCGCGTCTCGTCATCGCTGGCCACTCCTACGGTGCCACCGGCGCTCTCCAAGCCCTTCGCCCACATTCTTCCTCGTCCTCTTCCTCGTCCTCCTCATCCTCCTCCATCCCCTATACCCCTCCCCCCGCCGCCGGCATCATCCTCGACCCGGGCAAAGGTTCCGGCCCTCTCAACGCCGACGTCGACGTCCCTCTCCTCGTCGTCCAGTCCGAGTCGTGGTCCCGCATCGCGAGCCCCTTTTTCGGCCGCCCCCACTTCGACACCGTCCGCGACCTCGTCGCCGACGTCTGCAACCGCACCGCCGCCGCCTGGTTCCTCACCGCCCGCGGCACCGCCCACCCCTCCGTCACCGACGCGCCCCTCATCGAGCCCCTCCTGCTGAGCGCCGTCACCGGCGCCCGCTGGGGCGTCCGCGACGCCCTCGCGCAGTACGTAAACGTCACCGTCGAGTTTATTCACGCCCTGCGCACCCGCGAGCCCGCTCACGTCTTGGCCGAGGCCGTCACGCACGAGGACTACGGCGCTTGGGTCAGCAAGGAGCGCGAGGCCGCATTTCCCAAGGATATGGCGCATCTGTGGGAGGTCCATGTCGCTCCCTAAGGGGAATCTAACAAAACGGGGAAACTAGCGACAGATAAGAGCAAATATTAGCAAAAACACACAAAACAATCACGGTAGACAAAGTCGCATACTTTCTCTGCCTCACTATCCTTTTTCTGTACCTGAAATGATTGATACCTTGGGATTGGCGTTGAGCATTGATGTTTTTTTTCTTTCTCTTTCATGCCTTTTTCTCTGGTTTAGCCTCCAAGCATGCTTATAAATACTCTCATTGATCTTATATACTATACATAGGCAGCTTGACTACAATCTATCAACTACCATGCATTCCTTGTAAAACTTGAAATAGTTACCCACCCGACCTCAGCTTAGACAAACGCCCCAGGCCAGTCTGCATCTGCATCTGGTGTTCGCCTAGTCTTTCGGCTGTTCAAAAAAAGCTCAACCATTCGCTTACTGCCCATGGCTTGCGCATCCAATCCTCTCCCAAACCGGCAGTCATCAAAAGACGTCGCCTCTCGTACCACTCTACTCTGCGACACGTCTTCTCCACCGCGAATGCTTCGCCGTCCAGGCGATCCTGTGGCCACTGTTCCAAATTGCCGTCTGACTGCAGCACTCAGACCGGGACTGGACTTGAGCGACGACGCTGCGCCGGAATTCATGTACGCCTTTTTGGGTCGGCTTAGAGAATCCGCAAGAGCCGACGGACTACCTTTTGGCTTTTGAGGCGTGATGCTCTTTCTGCATCTTGTCTCGTACCCCTCACTCAAGTTGACATTGGGAAGCGATGAAACGCTGCGTATTGCTTTGGAGTGCTGTTCAAAGTCCTCGACCTTCTTTGTCTTGCACTCTGGTGGCGCATTTTCATCGTGCGTGAGCATTCGGTGACTATGATACACAACGTCATCTTCAATGACAATGCTCTGTGTAGCTGGTGGAGCCGTAATGTCCAATTCTTCGCTCCGGCTGCCATCAATACTTCCGTTCTCGGCATCACTTGTATCCGACGTGTTGCTGTTGGGGCCAATTTCTGCATTTTCTCGAACGTGGCCCATGGCTGACCAAGGATTCCACGTTTGCTCTTCGCCGAGAACCTTGGGGACTTCACCGCAGTCTTCCAGTTTCGACACTTTGGCGCTTAGCCAAGTCTTCCATTCCACTGAGCTCGCAGTAGACACTTCTCGTTGATGAGACCTTTCCGACGTGTCCTTGATGATCGCTTCTCGTTCCTGATTGTGCGGTGAGCTCAACATGACAGTGTCAAACTCACCCATGTCAAATGGAGACTCCGAGTTCCCCAACTTTCCCAGAGTAGCTGAGACGTCCGAGTAGACACTTTCCGCAGATGACAGGCGAATATCCCGTTCCGATCCTTCCGGACTCGATCGGCGAGTGGGAAGACTGAGCGCTGACAGCGAGCTCAAGTATCGCAGGTTGACAGGTTTGATGCTTGAGGAGCGCTCTTGTATTCTCATGCTCTTGCGCAAGGCTCTTCGGTATGGACTTTGAGCCCGGAAAAGGTGACCAGTAGGGCTTGTCCCTTCACTGTTCGTTGCACTGAAAAATGGACCTGTTTCCAAGTCGTACTCGTTTGGTATGGCTCCCTCATTGTAGTTGTGTTCTGGTTCTCCCTGCGTCACCCCATTTGAAGTTATAACGCTAATGGTGGCATCTATACCAGCAGTAGACTGCCCAATACCGCCTCCAAAATTGTCGTTTAATCTTCCACCGCGCAAGGATGCTTCACGGTTCTGCTGCTTCTGCATATCGTCAAGCCTCTGCACAAGAGCAGAGTAAGCACGCTCCTCATCCTCGGACGAGCGCCAACGCTCCAGAGTCGATACGGCATGTCCACCTTCGTCAATTACAGAAAGACGCTGGGGCTCCCATTCCGCATCTAGGGTGGTGCTTACCACTGTGTGGGTACTCGAATTCGTCCAGCTGGTGACTCGTGATTTTTCTCCATCCGTCTGTTGCGGTCCGTCTTCCAGCATTTCAAGACTTCCCTGGCAAGCCTGCAAGCAGTGTTCTGATGCAACGGATCTCAATGATGGTACATATGATTTGACTCGCGACACCGAAGTCTCTCCTTGAAGTGAAAGCCTAGAGTGGTCAACGCTGCTGGGCTCCGTATTGTTAGTATTTTCGGAATCCTCCAGCTTTTTCGATCGACCAAAAATATCTTTGAGTTTGCTTCTGACACTTTTGGAAACTTTTCTGGCGGCCTTTCGGAGACCAGAGCCCTTTGACAGCGACGAGGCCTCGGAGGGAATTGTTGAAGTAATAGGCATGCTATTATTGCTACTGTTTCTCATTGATGTTTTCATGTCTGACAAGCTCATGTTTCGCTTATCCTTTGAGCGAAGAAACACCGATGGGCGATTCTTCAGTCGCAGGCTACCTCGTAGGGACATCTTGCTGGGTGATGTAGAGATGCCACTTTCGTTTTGTCGTATGGATGGGCCCCTGCTCGAGTTCAATCGCAGAAAGCTCATCGACTTTGGACTCCTCAGTGAGCTTTTTCCCGTACCAATAACGGCATGCTTGCTTGGGTCGTGGCCGTTCCAGCCACTTGACGCAGTCGCTGCAGTCTCCGAATGGCACTCTGATGACATGAATGATCCATTAAACATGGATCGTGATTTTCGTAATTTTTGTCTCCGAACCGGGTAGAATGATTGCTCAGACTCGCATACGGTCTCTCCGTTCTTGGATTCTAAATCGAGGGAGCGGTCGAGCCAGAAGTCGTCATAAGCGTGGCCAGCCAGGGGCGAGCTCTTCGGCAGGCGGCCACCAAATGCACTCGAGTGCATGCGTCCGGATATATCTGAATGTTCTGCCCAACTTCCATTTGCACGAATAGCCACATCTCGTTTCTTCCTTGCAGTGGGGCCAGTAAACCGTACGCTTCTCTGCCGGCACAGACTGCTGTATGCTTTGCTTGTGGTAGCCTCGCTCTTATCCCCGTTGTAAGATATGATGTCCGGTCCTTTCATGAAGCTGTCGCTTCTGGCCAATCCATACGTAGAGAGTGAGCCTGGAATACCTGTAGAGCTGGATCTATCGGACTCTTCTCGTGCTTTTGTAAAAGAGACTCGTGCTGCAATATGAGCATCTCTGTGAGCCGGGTGCAGTTCGAGGTTGGCAAAGCCGCGGTTATGATGATTTATGGCCACAGAACCAGTCGATTTTCTCCGGCGTAGTGCTCCACGATGTTCAATTCTGGAATTATTTCGTCGAAACATGGCGATGACTCAACACGAAATAGGATATGATGACCCGGGCGTCAAACGGGTGGCCGAAATGGAAGGGTGGCATCAAACGAGCGAAAATTATTAGCCAACAATAAAAATTAGATGGTACGGCGCTTTCTTCACGAATATCACGCCTGGTGTTTTCGCGAATGAGTTTTGCAGCATTGCATTCAATGCATTGAGCATAGCACCTGAGGGTGCCCTCAACACCCGGGTGGACCAGGAAGGTGCATCCGAGTCTCGTCAGGGGAGCAACAACACTACGCGGGCAACCGATCCAAATGCAAGACAGCAGGGTCGGCAAAAACACTCATGAAAGAGGCGTACGGATAGAGAATATGAAAATGCATTTCTTCTCAACTAGTGTCCTCGTCAATCCATCTGTCTAGGGAGTCGAGAATCTCATGCAATAGAGTCAATTCAACCAAACACGAAAACTAATAGAGAAGCCCCAGATGATTTGCAGTATACATTGAAGTCATGTTAAACAGGTAAGAAAATAGCCGAGGCCACGGAGGCAATGCGATCTCGAAATAACGTTATGTTGGTATATGATCAAAGGAGATTACTCCAGGTGGGAGAGGAAGTCCTCGACCTCGACATCAACAATGTGCTGGATCTTCTTGGCAAACTTCTCAGCCTTGCTGCCGAAAGTCTTGGCAGACTTGGTAATCTCGCCAGAAACAACATCAATCTCGTGCTGAATCATGGTATGGACGCTCTCAGACTTGGACGAGGTGCTCTTGGCCTCGTAGCCACCGGCCTGAACAATCTTCTTGTAGTCACTGCAGCCGGCACCGTTCCAGGCAAGAACGTTGGGAGTCTCGGAGTCGATATCGCTCAGAGAGTTCTTGGTGCCGATGCTAATAATGTTGTCCTTGAGCTCAGCAGGGGTGATGGAGGCAACAGCGTACTCAGAGTCAGAGGCGGGCTGGAGAGACAGGTAGTAGGCGAGAAGACCGCAGATGTGGGGAGAGGCCATGGAGGTGCCAGAGATTGTGTTGATGGCATACTTGGAGCCGATCCAGGTGGACTGGATGTTCAGGCCGGGGGCAAAGATGTCAGTGCACTTGCCGTAGTTGGAGAAGTAGGCACGGCTGTCATCAATGGTGGAGGCACCGACGGTGACGGCCTTTTTGGCGGCAGCGGGAGAGTAGTTGCAGGCATCGGCGTTATCGTTACCAGCAGCAACAGCAAAGTGGAGGCCCTTGGCAACGGCGGCGTCGACAGCCATGTCGAGCAGAGTAGTCTTGCCACCACCAAGAGACATGTTGGCGACGGAGCCCTTGAAGCCCTTGCGCTTACCGTCCTTGGCCTTCTTGACCTGTTCCTCGTGGGACTTGGCAGCCCAGTCGACACCCTTGATCACATCCGACATGGAGCCCGAGCCGTTAGAGCGGAGCACCTTGACGGCGTAAACGTTGGCCTTCTTGGCAACACCGTACTTCTTGCCGGCGATGGTGCCGGAGCAGTGAGTGCCGTGACCGTTGCCATCCTCATCGGCATCGCCGTCGGGGGCAGTGTAACCCCACTTGGCGCGGCCCTCGAAATCGACGTGGGCAATGTTGGTGCCAGTGTCAATAACGTAGGCATCAACACCCTCACCACCCTCTTCAGCGTAGAGATACTTGTTAAAGGTACCAAATCCAAGAGTCTCGCGATGGGAGATACGGGCAAGACCCCAAGGAGCCTGCTTCTCCGTCTCGGGTTTGCAAGTGTCCTCGGTAACAGTCTCCTTGGTGATGATGGGGACCATGGTGTGTACAATGGAGTCACGCTCGATGGCCTCGACCTAGTCGACATGTTAAATGACGAAGCGTGGCAAAAACAGAGGTAATACGTACGTCAGGGTGGTTGCGGATCTGCTCAATGACGGCGTCGTCAAAGCGGCCAGCATAACCGCGGAAGCCAGAGCCGAGATCAAAGGTGTGCTTCACGCCATCAAATGCATCTTCGACTGAGTCAAAGAGGCCTCGCTTGCGAAGCTCGAGGCGCTGCTGCTTGCCATCGTTATGGATATCCGAGACCCAGGAGTGGTGAGTCTTGGCCTTCGGTTCATCGACATGCTCCTTGAACTTGATAATGTAGGCACCGGGAATGGTGTTGGAGTGGGTGGCATCGAGGATCGGGGCCGAATCGTGATGAATGGTGCCAATCTTGAAGGACGAGGCCTGGGCGATGGCGGCCACTGAGAGGGCGGCGACAACGGACTTCATGGCGAAGGGTGCGCTAAGCAGTGCGGAAGAGTGGGTGACGCGGACCGGCCTGCGGTGGAAGTTTGGTGAGGAGCAGGAGAATCAAGAATAAGAGCGATGAGGAGATAAAGGATTCTGGGTACGGAAAAGAAACCAGCAAGAGGAAAAGCAGATTTGGAAGATGATGAAGGAAGAAGGATGCGTTGAGAGAGGAATGAGGAAGAAGCGGAGGAAGATGACGAGCGCGGTGCTCCGAGGGTGTTGATAAGGGCGGAGCCAGGTGCTTGGGTCTGGGGTGGGTGGTACCTACGTTTTAATGATAATTTGGTGCGATAGCAAAGTATCCTGAGCAAGTTGGGTGGCCAGGCAGCGCTGTGGCCTGGAACGAGTGACGCATCCTCCACTGCGCTGTACCTTAGCTTTTGAGGCGGCTTGTGGCAGGTACCTACCTAGTTGGGGTCGATGCGGGTCTCTTTAGCGCCTGGAATGAGAGGCTACAAGGGCTCCCCCGCACCTTGTCTGCTTGTCACGGTCGGGTCTGCCGTTCCTGGGGCGATGCAATAGCGGCATGGCGCAGTATCTGCTACTTTGCAGATATGTGACATTTCCTAGTCGCAAGCCTGTCCAAACTACTTATCTCAGCCGCATGTACGCACACTGACCTGCTAGCTTGTTTGGCTCGTCACCTGGCCACACAGCACAGTGAGACAGGCCTGGAGCAGGCACCCAGCTGTGCCGCCGCTTTAGGGCGGCATCCGGGAGTGATACCCGCAGACCTTCAGCCATCACACAATCCTAAAGACGATGCAATGAGGATTTGCTAGAGGTACGAGAATACAATCAGAGATTAGAGTACAGACGACATGCACTAAAAATCCAAAAAGTTAAATGTTACTCGAGAAAAATGGTCAAAAGAAAGGCAACGCCATGTCAACGCCACCCGACGCCAATGCTCACATTCACTTTGGCGGCGGAGCTGACGCAGCTGGTTCCGGGTGGTGTGGTGGCAATTTGCTTGTTCCTGAAACTCTGAGTGTCCGGCATCGCCTCATGCCCAAAAGGTATGCCCCTGGGGCCCGTCTAACTCGTGGCTTCCCATTAATCTTCACCAGTCGTTGTCGGGCTCGATTTATTCCTTTTTTTTTTCTCCTATTTTGCCGCATTACCACAGTCATCCAGCCAACAACACCAGATCTGCACGACATGCCGTTTTGGCCCCAAGTTGCGCGCCCCTTTATGGCGGCGAGGCGCTAGTCGAAAAGCAGCCTGGCACCCTGCAGTGACGACACAGACACCTTGTTGGTCAGTATGTATCAGTCAGGGCTCAGTCGCAAACACAGCTCACCCCTTATCATCGTTTGCTCGACAGTCTGGCATTGATCATCTTGTCCTCTTCATTGCTAATACCAGTCTTTTGCCTTGCTTCTTCTATTTGTATGTTTCCCACTGCTACTCGCTATGTTACATCCGATGAAACTGCCAGCCGATCCCCAGTTTTCATATCTCACCTGACGGCCTCACAGATAGTCATAGGCTCCCGGCTGACTGGGCACGTGCCTCTCCAGCACCCTCATCGCCCTTCCGTGGTTGCACGCTACTGAATTGACCGTGAAGCTGCCGTGGAGTGATTACTACCTATCGACTTGCGCAGCGATCATCTTTTTGATTCGCATTTCGTTGCTTCTTTCCTAGCCTCGTCATTTGTCGTATCATGGACATGGCCGAGGGCGGCGACCGGAGTCACCTGCAGCTGCAGCTCCGCACCGACACAACATGCAAGAACGGTCAAGTTAAAATGACATAATCCCGCCCACCAGCCAACCCACCGCTATTTGCTCTCAAGCGGCGAGCTATCTGTTATCTGTATATCTGCACATATGCACATCTGCACCTCTGCATATATGTATCAGATATCCGTAGCATCGCTACAGTCATCATCGTGCGAGATGATGCCTACCTAACGAACAGAAGAACGGACACGGAGCCATGTTACCTCTTGACTGGCTCAACTTTTGGCTGTATGTAGCTAGTCATAGGTCTTCTCCTGCTAATTATCGAGCCACGTAAACTCATCCAGCCCGACTGCATCGGCGGTCGACTGCTAGCGCTCCCGTCCACGCAGACGTGCATCAAGACAGGTTGACAGGCCCACCATAGCTCGCAACAGCTCCCTATTTGTTTCCTACCTATGGCGTAGAGGCATTGCCTCGCGTTCCTCGCCACAAATAAAAAATACTGTCATAAAGACAAAGTCGCTGCGGTAAACCCAGGCTCACTCTCTCGTATCTCTGCCGCACAGCCACTCAGTTGTTCTGCCACCATAACAGCGGATTGCAAGGCTTCCGCGGGTTCCAAGAGTACTGGTATATCGACACCACAGTTACCCTAGACACTCTTGATCTCGAGCAAACACCGACTGCAAAGGCCCTCTGTAGACGAGCTCCCAGAACATCATGACACACTTGCGTCTTCTTTTCTGTCGACCCTCGAACCGTTTCATGCTCAACATCTGCCTGCGCCCAGCCTCACTGTGGACTTGCCGCCTGGCGCAGCTGACAGGCGAACGAATACGGGCCAATCGCTGCAACGAGACTACGTCAAGTAGCTCCATCTCTCTTGACTCTTGCACAACAACAATTGGTAGCTCTAAAGGCTAGACTAAGCGCTCGTATCCCTCATTCAAAACCCGTTCAACGCTGTCATTTACTTCGTTATCCACATCGGGTTGCGCCTATTCGACAATTTGAAAATCCTTCCGGCGTTGCGCACTCTGCAATCTGTATTCAACGTATTAAAAGAACTCAGATGTGCCCCGCGCCGCTAAGCTAACGCGACGACGGCTTTCCCAACTCTCCCACCCGCAGCATCTCCATGCAGCCCTCGTCAACGCACTTCCTAGGCCCGTGAGGGGGTCATGGGAATTCTACCTTGGGATGCACTGAGATAGAGCTGCAGTCTCCCGCCATCATGTCGACCACTACCAGACGATATCGCTCCTCGACCTCCGCCTCCACACCGGCAGCCGCCAACCAGAAGTCAATCCAAGTTCTGCAAGCTCTTCTCCAAGGCCTGTCCAGCCAGACCAATGTCTCTACAGACAGTGCATACCCCGAGATACTGCAGCTCACCAACGGCCTCAGAGCTGTCGCACAACAAATATCTGGGCCCAATATACCTTCGCAGCAGGATGCCTTCCGGCATGCCGGCGGCTTCGAGGCCGTTTTCAATGTCCTGCGAAGCTTCTCCGGATTTTACGATCCCGACAAACGATCCAACAAGGAAATGACGTCGCTCTTCCAATTGCTGGCTGCCACGCTCGATGTCTTTGCCGCCGCCATGAATAGCCACTCTGGCAATAAGCGCTTCTTCAAGTTCCGTGTCGAAGGCGGCGGATGGGAGGCTCTCGAGCAGGCCATTGCCAGCATTGGTCTCGGCGGCGTTGAGCCCAATCCCTGGGTTAGCTGCCACGTCTTTGGCAAGCTTTTTGCCTTTTCTCTCGGAGACGATGCCATCGATCTCCTTTTCCAGTCCATTGCTGAAACACTGCGCCATGATAACGAACGATCCGCGGACAACACCGACGAGACGGAACAGGATGACCAGTGGGATCTTGTCCTCGCCAAATCTATGGAGTCGATTGGACCCAAGGTTCGCGAATTGGTGCAAAACACGACTCGAGTTCAATACCCAGAAATGCTTCGTGCTATTGTCAGCTTTTGGTCGTCTCTTCCCCGTGATAACGATGCCGCCGCCACGCCAGCCTCTCTCTTGGTCCTTGAAACCATTCTCCGTGCTGCCGAGGTGCTGACGTACAACTGTGCCGCTATTCACTCCACTGGCGTCATGTCCCAGTTTCTGCGTGTCGCCTTCTCTCCAAACACGCCCTTGTCCGCTGCCGAACGTAAAAAGATAATGGCCATTTGCCGTCGGCTCATGTTCTTTGGTGTCGATAAGCCTGCTGACACACAATTCCTCCTCTCTGTGCCCGGCTCGGAAGCCTCCGAATTCTGTCTTGAAATGATGGGCAGATACCACGGCCCTGCATTTTTCAACTTTGATCTCTCACTGTACGGCCATTCGTCTCTCGAGCTTCCAAGTCTTGGTCGTTCGTTCCCACCACAATCTTCTGCTGGATACACCTTCACAGCCTGGATATACATCGACCATTTTGATCCGTCCACCCACACGACTCTATTTGGCGCCTTTGACGTTTCTCAGACGTGCTTCGTCCTCATGTATCTCGAGAGGGACACGCACAATTTCATCTTGCAGACGTCAGTATTCTCCAATAAGCCTAGTATCCGCTTCAAATCCACCGAATTTCGAGAGAAGCAATGGTATCACATAGGCATTGTCCATAAGAGACCAAGGACCATGACAGCGAGCCGCGCCGCCTTGTACGTCAATGGCGAATTCTGCGAGCAGATGCGATGCAACTATCCTCTGACTCCGCCGCTATCCAATAATAGCAACGAAAGTTTTGCATCCTTCAACTCTGGTCAGAACAAAACCAATCCTGTCCAAGCTTTTATAGGTACGCCAAGGGAGCTATCTGGTCAACTCGGGACGGGCCTCGTATCTTCGCGATGGTCATTGGCGTCTGCACATCTATTCGAAGACATAATTGGCGACGATTTCCTGGCTGTTCATTATGGTCTCGGTCCTCACTATCACGGGAATTTTCAAGACACACTGGGCGGGTTTCAAACCTACGAGGCATCCGCTCAGCTGGGTCTTCGAAATGAGATTGCGCATCCTGGCAAGGACGAAAGTTCCGACATCCTGAGAGCGGTTCGAGACAAGGCGAGTGTGATACTGCCAGAATCAAAGGTTTTGCTCAGCATTCTTCCCTCTGCAACGCTTCCAGAAAATGTTCAGTTCCTTGATACGGGTCTCTTGCGCTCCCTCCCGCGTTCCGCTTCACGTGCGCTGTTCATTGCTTCAAACAAAGATGGGGCGCCTCTAGCCATCAACTCCGCTGTCCCCAACATTGCTGATGCCCTCTTCAAGCCTCAAGGTATCGCATCATTCCGAGGCAGTCCGACCATCGCACTACCGTCGTACCTGGACGAAAACCTTTGGCGTCTTGCTGGGTTCACCTCGCTGGCGTTGAAGCTACTAGAAAGGGCCATGTCAGTTGAAGAAACCATTCGCACCCTTGAGATCATGTTCCACTGTATTCGAACGAGCTGGAGGAACAGTGAAGCTATGGAACGTGACAACGGCTACAGTATTCTGGCCATGCTCCTTCGGTACAAGATGGGATTTGTGAACGGACTGGCTACTGAGTTCTTCGCCATCAAGCTGCACCTTTCCACCGAGGAACGCGACAGTCTAGCTTTCAGAGTCTTGAGCCTGGTACTCGGGTTCGTCGGCTATAATCACGAGAACCCCCTGGATTCACTGATTGTCAACCCACTTGCCTATCGCATCTTGCTGATTGACCTGGACCTCTGGCGGAAATCGGCCCCTCGCATCCAAGAACTATACTACAAACAATTTGTCACCTTTGCTGTCAATAGCAAGCATCATGAATTTAATAGCAGGAGACTGATTCGGATGCGCATTGTCAAACGGCTTCTTGATGCAATGAAAGGTGAAGCTATACCGGAAGAGGTCTTGCCGCACTTCATGCAAACGTTTGAAGTGTTGGTGAAATCAAACCTCAGCCCCGAAGCTATGCGATCACTATCGCTCTTCATCACATACGCCTTCCACGTTCCAAGTTCGTCAATGTCTAGGTCCTCGCGACCGCTTTCTTCGCTTTCCCAGCCAGCAACACCAAACTTGATGAGGAGGCAAACTGGTGATGGTAGCGGTGCAAGCAGTCCGCTGCCAGGGGTGAAATATCTCACCAAGAAACAACTCGGTGCACGGGTGCTCAGTATTTATTCACATATACTGTGCGAAAAAGGAAATTTCAACTACATTCGCAAGTTTGCCAAGACAGTCACAAACAAATGGCTCCTCTATTTGCTCGCTGAAAACGACAAAGACATTCTTCTGCAAGGTGCGACCATCCTGTCGAGGCTGTTGGTTGCTCATGGCTCGGCCTATACTTCAAAATTCGCCAGCAAGTCTGCAGGCTTTGCAATCATGGCAAATCGATTAAAGCGATTCTGGTACAGCGCTGCGCTCTGGCCGGTGGTTCTAACTCTGCTGTTTGGTGTCGATGTGGCCGACCTTGACACAGACAAGTGGCTCGATACAGGTTATCTACTTGGCGTATTTGGTGATTGCAAAGTGATGTATCCCGAGGCCTCTATCATCATCACGTCTATGCTTCAGCATGGACTGAATGACATTCTCAAGCAAGACGATATATCAGAAGCGACCCCCGATTCGGAGCTTCGACCAGCATCTTCGACCGAGCCCGCAAAAACGTCCACAGACGGCATGGCACGAGTCTTCCAGGCTCAAATGACTTTGGGACAACATGCAGATCCTGTTATCTTGCAAAATATGCTCAAGCTCTTCCATGAGCTGTATGAGAAATCCGCCGATTTTCGAGACTTTGCCTTTAGTTCGGACTGGGTTCGACTCATTTTTTCCATGCTGTATCCTGTTATTGTCAGCAGCGATGCTGTGACGCCAGATGTCGAACTGCACTCTCGAGACTCGACTTTGAACTTTGACGGCAGCGATGTCATTATTCGACCCATAGGATTAGCTTCTGGCCGTCCGGCGCCCATTGTACGAACCAGCAGCGTTGACTTGAGCACCACGCCGCAGTCAACGCCCCCCAAAGGGACTCTTCTCCAACGTGCTTCTTCATTTGTTCTGCTCACCACACAAAGTGTACAAGAAGATAGCAAGCATCAAGAGACTACGTCTCGTCCACTGAGCAGCAATAGGCAATCTGGTGCTCTCGTTGACAGCCTCTTAGAGCTTGCAATCAAAGTCTTCATGGACCAAATTTTCAAACGCAAGGAATTTTCTGGCTTTTTCCTCTTCACAAAGGTTCCTCCTGGGTTTCAAGAACATCAAGCTTATTTCGAATCCTTTCTTTCGAGGAAGATCACTGCAAACTCAACAGAACATACTCTGTCAAACCAATCCATGTTGTGCGAGCCAAAGCTAATCACGAATCTGGCACGACTCTGCCTGCACTTGACAGAGGCTGTATTTGAAGGATGGTTCATTGATGGCGCTGAAGTGATCATTGATTTTGCAGGAATGCTGTTAGAATACCTTCAGCGACCGGATATTGCAAGCTTGAAAACCGTCAGGCTGTGCAGCCAGTCCGTCACACTGATCCGTACGTGCCTACTACGCGTCATTCTGTTGAAGCTATCGGACATGGACAGGCCCGAAATGACAGAAGAAGCTGCTATGAAGTTTATGAGCAAGCTGGCGTATTGGCAAATGTCAATCTTGGGCTGCTTCGCGGCGGAGGATGAGTACCTGAAACTCTTTTGGTACCAACTTTATGCCAAGCTCGTTGACGAAAGGGACTCTTTACGGCGGTCGGCGGCCAACTTCCTTCGCATATTGCTGGTGGCGAAGCCGGACGAGTCCACTGCTCTCATTCGCTCCTTCATGGTCCCTGGCCACAAGCAAATTCTCCACGACTTTTTCAAGATTACGGAGCTGGACGACGACGTGTTCATCGCATGGGTGGACCAAAACCGACCGTCCCTTGATCTGCTATTCTTTGGAGGAATGGCCAAGACCTGGGAGAACTTTGTCAGCCTTGAGAATTTGCGTACGCAGGAAACGGCCAAGACCCGCCTTTCCAAACGAAAGGATAAACTCAAGCAATGGTACTTGGAAGGCGTGGCAAAAGACAAACTTCTAGCCAGTCATGAGACTGGAAACAGCGCTTGGATGAAGAGCATTTACAATTCCGAGCACTTCAAGTACCAGAGATTACTCCAAGATCAACAGGATGACTTATCATTCCTCATTTCTGCATACAAAAAGATGGAGATGGATCTGAGACGACCCGGCGCTGTGTTTAGCGATCCTCGGCCTCTGAAGTGGAAGCTTGACCGGACCGAAGGGCGAAATCGTATGCGTCTTCGATTGCTGCCGGACTTCTCTACAGAGATGGAAAAGTACCGTTCTAAAGAGAAGGGAGTTGCAGCGGCAGCCTTGCGAGTCAATACGGCGACGGGTAGTTCGCCAAGCGCAGCGCCTACTACGCCAACGTTGGTCACAACACCGGGGACAGCTACCCCCGGAAACACCGCTGAAGCTGATACTGAGCTGTCTTTTGAACAAGAGGACAGCGGATTCACACCAGAAGACGACTTTGAACTGATTGAGGACCCAAATGACGCAAACGACTTGGATGAGAACTTTGAAGACAAGAATCGTAAAGTTATGCGTCGCTTGGAACATGGCGACCAAGTCCAAGCGGCTTACAATGTTTCTCGTGTAACGGGGCTCGAAGCCTGCGAGGGAATATTAATTATCGGTAAAGATGCGCTGTATATGATGGACAATGTGTTTCAGACGGCCACTGGAGACATTGTTAACGTTTGGCAAGCCCCGATGGAAGAACGTGACCCCTTTACGCGAATTGTCACTGGAACTAAGACTCTAGAAAAGCGACAAACAGCCGGTAACAGAGATCAGGAGTCTAGACACTGGAAGTGGCAAGATACCATCAGCATCTCAAAGCGTCGCTTCCTGTTCCGTGACGTCGCCATCGAGGTCTTCTTCACAGATGGCCGCAGCTACCTCCTCACTGCGATCAACTCAGTCGTTCGGGATGAGATGTTCGTCAAGATGCTCTCCAAGGCGCCGCACACCAGCGCCGCCCATGCTCTCCCCAACCCAGAAGACGCGTGGAGGTTCGAGGCTTTGAAAAACTTTGACGAGTCGCAGCAAGGTATTGGCTCTAAACTGGGAACATTGTTCAACACGTCGCCATGGAATCCATTGATGAAGCGCTGGCAGAAGGGTGAAATGTCCAATTTTCACTATCTCATGATGGTCAACACCATGGCAGGCAGGACTTTCAACGATCTGACGCAGTACCCAGTGTTCCCCTGGGTACTGGCCGACTTTACGAGCGAAGAGCTTGACCTCAACAACCCCGCCTCCTTTCGTGATTTGTCTAAGCCTATGGGTGCCCAGACACAGGAACGAGTACAGGGCTTCGTTGAAACGTACAATGCTCTCAAGGAAATTGAACAAGCGCCGTTTCATTACGGAACGCATTATTCGTCTGCCATGATCGTCACGTCTTACCTGATCCGCTTACCACCGTTTGTGCAGTCCTATCTCTTACTGCAAGGTGACAGCTTCGATCACGCCGACCGACTATTTCAGTCTATTCCTGATGCTTGGAAGTCGGCATCCTGCCGCAACAAAACGGATGTCCGAGAACTTATACCGGAGTTCTTTTGCCTGCCTGAATTTCTGACCAACGTCAACGGATATGACTTTGGGCGACGACAGAGTAACGGTGTCAAGGTCGACAACGTCGCTCTGCCCCCGTGGGCCAAGGGTGACGCAAAGATTTTCATTGCCAAGCATCGGGAGGCTCTGGAGAGCCGATATGTGAGCGAAAATCTCCATCACTGGATCGATTTGATCTTTGGATATAAGCAACGAGGTGAAGCGGCCGTGGAAAGTTTGAACGTCTTTCATCACTTGTCGTATGCTGGTGCTAGCGATCTGGACCGTATCACGGACGCAAATGAGCGCGCAATCACTGCGGGTGTCATTCACAACTTTGGACAGACACCGCATCAGGTGTATTCCAAGCCGCACCCGCCGCGTGAAAATGCAAAATGCCCGATCAAGCGGCTTGACTCGTCGGTGCAGGCACTCATTTGTCTCCCGAACCCGTTGATAGGTAAGCCGCGACGATGGCAGTAAAGGAGACCCTTGTTGCTAACATTGTCTAGAATCACACGAACGAGTAGCCTCCCTGATATACTCACCGAAACTGGACCGACTGCTATGTGCCTCGCCCTTTCGCCTGAATTTGCCACCGTACGACAAATTTCTGGAATGGGGGTATGCGGACAACACGGTCCGCTTCTTCTTCAGTGACAATCGCAAAGTAAGATACTAAGCTCCGACAAGAAGCAATCCAGCTAACGTATCAGCCGGCTGGGTTGTTTGAAAATCTGCACATTGGACAAATTTCGTGCGCCTGCTTTGCCGACTCCAAGACTCTCATTACGGCAGGCGAAGACTGCGTTGTTTCAGTGTACAACGTCATAACGAGCCCAGGAAAGCCCGTAGAGCTTGTGCCCAAGTCCAGTCTGTTTGGACACAAGACTCCCATCACAGCCATTGCCGTCAGCAAATCTTTTAGCACTTTTGTCAGCGTGTCGGCGGATGGGCAGGGTTTGCTATGGGACTTGAACCAGCTGACGTTCATCCGCAAGCTCCCGCTCGTACGTCCCGTGGAATGCGCGCGCATCAATGATGTGTCGGGAGAGATTCTGCTCTGCTCGGGGCCGAGCGTCATTCTGTACACGCTCAACGGATCCGTCATACTCGACCAGAACGTCTGCCCCGACCCAGATGACTACGTGCACGCGTGCGCATTCTATGAAGGCGCTGGCAACGAGTGGCTAGAGAACCAACTTATCTTCACAGGTCACAGCCGCGGCGTCGTTAATGTCTGGCGCAAGAGCCACGCCATGGGCAAATGGTCTCTGGAGCATCTTCGACGACTGGACCACGTCGACTACAAGACGGATCGGCGCGACAATGTCAGCGCGGGCATTACCTGTATCAGCCCGATGCCGAACTGCGTATACACGGGAGACGAAGATGGCAGAGTTGTACGTTCCCCTGCGGATATTATTTTGCCCTTTCGTGCCTACACACACACTAACAAAGCAGTCACAGTTTGAATGGAACTTTGCGGGCAGAGACCGATAGTGCCGTCCCTGCTGGAGGCATTCACAGACGACGTCGCCAAAGCGCAGAAGTTGAAGCCCGAGGGGGGGGGATTTGGGAAACGATAACTACCTAAAAAGAGGCAATTTTTGGAACTTTATAGATTGGCTATACTGCCCACAAAAGAAGGGCATTGCGTGCATCGGAGCATTGCATTTTTATCCTGTTTGGGTCTTGCATTGGGCGAGCGAGGGAACAGCGTCCAGCGTGAAAGCATGCGTCCGGACAAAAGAAACAACATTGCTTTCAAGAGGTGGCTCATGTCTCAGACTTGTGGAAAATGTATATAAATTTGGGACACAAGACGGCGAGAGATGAAGGACCCAGATCATATAATGAAAATCCGCGAGTTTCCTCGTCATAGAGATATTGTATTGTTACACAAGTCTTCCTCCGCTGGCCGAATTATGTTCGCTTATCACCCTAGAAGTCTGTCTTCCACCCCCTCTGCATCTATCCGCCGTTTTCGGCTAACCCCCATGCCCTTTGTTCTGGTATATGTATGCGCTTTCATCAAAAGTCGGCTTCTTTTTTTACTCGTCGTCGTAGCCCGTCAATTGCTTACGAGGCCCGGTAGGGACTGTATCGGGGCGAGCCTCATGTTAGCGAGCTGCGAGAGACCACACCATTCCGTGAAGTTTATCAGGTTGAAGAGACACGCTAGAATTGGCATCCCAAAGAGAGTCGCCGACAGGGGCAAGGAGACACATGCGGAACGTACCGGGATACGTGACGGGAACCGGGGCCGGATCGACGTCGCCGAGCCAGCGGCGGATGGGCGGACCGATGGGCATAGCGAGGGGCCCAGCGGCGCCGATGACGACGGACCAGAAGAGCGCGGGCTTCTCGCGGGCGGCCCAGCGGCAGTATTTGAGGGGGGTGGACCAAAAGAAAGGCGCGGCGGACATTATGACTGAGGCGGTCCGGCAAGTGACGAATTAGCGGGAGGCGGGAACGCTGAGTGTGTGGTGGCGGTCGGGCGCAGGGATGTATCGGTTGGTGATGGCAGAGATATCAGACGTACGTGGATTCGCGGCGGCGCGCAAAGGGCTCGGTGGTGCAAGAAATCGGTTGGTGATGGGTATACGCCGGGAAGGTGTTGAAGCTCTAGGAAAAGGTCGCAGTCTGGCGGGAGGATTTGGCGGCTTTGCTATTGGATGCTGGGGGTGATGGACCCGTTTTTCTGGGCTTGGGGCCAGCAAGCTGTGGGAAAGCAGCGAGACTACACCGTACGTTGGAAGCTGTTGGAGCATAAGAATACGTATTTCATGTAAGTAGAATGGGATAAAAATCTTGATTCTCTTCAATTGACGTATGCAAATCTACTTTGACTCTGGTACGTGGACATGGCACAGCTGGCTGTGAACGGCGCTTGAACAAACGCCACGATTACAGTCAAGTAATATACCAATAGTATCCAAGTAACTCAATTGAATGAAATATTGAGCAATCAATCAGAAATCAAATCACGCGATATATCGTCACAAATGCTGGACATATCGCTTCTCTTGACCTCTAACTCTCCCCACCAGGCACCGCGCGGCAGACAGTCAAAACGGCGCTAAACCAAGATGGGCCCCCGCCAACCAGCCAAGGCTACGTATCCAATCCAGAAGAGCCCCAGAGCTCCTTGAAGCTTCGCTCGTGGAACATATGAACACGACTCCCCCACGTTCACCTTATCACGCCGTCTTCTCTTTTCTTGTTCTTGTCGTTTTGTTCACTCATTTTTAAAACACAACTTCAAGAAGAAAAGTACTATGCGGCTGTCGTGGAGCGCGGTCATTTCCGCCCTTGCGGCGGCCACGTCGGCGCTGAGCACCACGGGCTCTCGACTGCTCGTTGTTCTCGACGACGTGGCTGACAAGGCGGCATACGGACAGTTTTTTAGTGACTTGGCTGGTGCGTCTTGGACATACTCAATCACGAGGATATGATGACTGCGCAATTGATCTATTGCTAACACTATAAACACTGTTCTTTAGCTCGCGGCTTCGACATCAACTACGAAACGCCTCGAAGCGACAAGCTGAGCCTGTTTGATCTCGGCGAGCGCAGATACGACCACCTCATCTTTCTGCCCACAAAAGTTAAAGGTACTGCCCACGTGCCATTCGCATCCGTCAAAGCAATCCCTTCACTAACCGCTCGCCGTCCGCAGCTCTTGGCCCTAATCTGACCCCCAACCTGCTCGTCGACTTCGTCAACGCCAAGGGTAATATCGTGGTCGGCCTGTCCTCGACGACGCCCACCACGAGCTCCATCGTGTCGCTGCTTGCCGAGCTCGAAATCTCCCTGCCCGCCGAACGCACGGGCACCGTCGTCGACCACTTCCACTACGACGCCCTCTCGGCGCCCGAGACGCACGACGTGCTCGTGCTCGACACGCCGACGCCCAACGCGCGCGCGGGCCTCAAGCCCTACTTTGCGCTCCCCGACGCCGTTATTGCCGTACCGCACACGGTCGGGCACGTCCTCGGCAACAGCCACCTGCTGACGCCGATCCTGCGCGCGCCCGACACGGCGTACAGCTACAACCCTAAGGAGCAGGCCACCGTCGTCGAGCCCGACGAGCTCTTTGCCGCCGGTCGGCAGCTCGCGCTCGTCTCGGCCCTCCAGGCCCGCAACTCGGCCCGCGTCGTGGTGCTCGGTGCCGAAATGCTCCAGGACAAGTGGTTCGATGCCAAGGTGGCCAAGGTCGATGGCTCCCCGACCAAGACGCAGAACAAAGAATTTGCTCGCCGTCTCTCAGGCTGGGCGTTTCAAGAGATTGGCGTCTTGCGCGTCAATGACGTCGAGCACCGTCTCGTCGGCAGCGACGAGCCCAACCCTAGCCTCTACAGAATCAAGAACGATGTGGTACGTTGGTGCCTTGCCACTGGAATCATTGCGCGGATAGCTACAAACTAACAACTGCTGCCAGACATACCGCATCTCACTGTCTGAGTACAATTGGGACAAGTGGGTGCCCTTTTCTCTCCCCGAGCAGGACGCGCTGCAGCTTGAATTCTCCATGCTGTCGCCCTTTCACCGTCTCAACCTGGCGCCCGTCGGCAAGACCGCCGACGCTGCCACCTACGGCGTGCGGTTCACGACGCCCGACCAGCACGGCATCTTCAATCTCCTCGTCAACTACAAGCGCCCCTTCCTCACCAACATCGAGGAGAAGCGCACCGTCAGCGTCCGCCACATGGCGCACGACGAGTGGCCGCGCAGCTACGTCATCTCGGGCGCTTGGCCCTGGATCTCGGGCATCGCCGCCACCGTGGTCGGCTTTGTGGCCTTTTCTGCGCTCTGGATGTATAGCAAGCCTACGGATGCGAAGAAGAAGAAGACGCAGTGAGATGAGAGACGTATAAAAGACGGGTGATGAAGGATTGAAGTGGACATTTTGGCAATTTCTTTGGTTTTCTTGTGCTAGATCTTTGTTCAAGATGGCAACAAAAAGGCATGACTTGTGTTTTATGTACTATTGAGTAAAATAGAAGCTGATCTGGTACGGGAAAGTCGTTGAATCTATGATATCAGCTGGACTCCAATTCGGAGTTGAAGTTGAACACAATTCATATATACTATCGAGTGCATACTCAATCAGAAAAAGATCGACACGTAGATTTGTTTGTACAATAACTCGTAGCAAAGGATTTGGAAGCAAAGGATGAAAAGGAAGCATAAAAAGCAAAGACCCTCAGATTAGCTCTCTTGTGTTCTCACTGGCAACACACAGGACGCCAGCACCAGCCTGCTCGGAAGCAAAGCCAGGTCTGCTGGGACAGCGAGCAGAGTCGAAACAAGTCGCAGGAGCAAAGGCAAGCACAGAAAAGACGTCCAGGCCAAAAACGTGACTGAAAAAGCAATCGGTGGAAAGACGTACTGCGAGCAGACGGGAAGGGTCCAAGAACTGCAACGGCAGAACCAAAAAAAGAGCAAACGAGGGCGCAACCAAGAGGGCACCGTAGCACCCTTTGGTCACACCTCTCAATGCTCCCCCTCGGCTCAGGGATTGACCATACAGTTCTCGATTCGACCACTTTCGCCGCATCAGCAAGCAAATCCTCACACCAACTACGGGCTCTCTCATTCGCCGAATGGCCCTTTCATTCTTCCTCCGCTGCCCCCAACTCCCTTCATGCTTCTGTCTCGTGCGCATTGTCGATGCTGTGGCTGAGCTGCAAATTTGGCTTGTTGGACTCTGGGTCATCACTGGGTCGAAAACACTTGCAACTTTTTTTTAAAAAAAAAGAAGCGTATCTCTGTCTGTGTATTCAAGCCGTCTTCCTTTCCCGGCCCACTTCTCTTCTCACCCGTATCCAGCAGCACGCAAGTTCCTCCGAATTTGACCTTGGCCTTCGGAACCCGAACCAATGCATCGATCAAAAGGCACCACGGTTTGTCAGATTCTTGACTCGAAAAAGGTGATCTCAGCCTGCTCCGATTGAAAACTATAATGGGACATTAAACATGTAGCAAAACAGACCTCCCCCCGGAAGGCTGTTGTTGCTTTCATCATGAGAAAAAAGGTTGTCGGTCATTGCGGCCATGTCGGACACCTTTCGAGTCAAGAATTTGAGAGCTTGGGGACCCTGCCTGGAGGTGAGGCCAGGCTCATGATGAATTTGTTGGCCGGCGGCTTGGCCTATCCGCGTACTGATGTGTGCTGCTAGAGTCGAGGCGGAAAGAGATTTTGTTTTGGAAAAGGTCTGCTCAGATTTCTGTTCTTCGTGGGAAGCGGTCATGACGAGATGAGCTGGCTGCTTTCCAAAGACAATGACCTTTCAGCACCGGCTTTGGCATAGTGCCAGGTCACGCAAGCTACCGGAATAGCATGTGCTAAGTTTGTCCTCACTGCAGATTGGCTTTTTCGTGGCGTTGATGCAAGTCAGACTTCTGACTGGGTGATGCACACCACTGAGACGTTGAACAAGGAAATGAGGACAGAAAGAAAATGGTGGTCCATGCTAAAGCAAGGCCGTATACTTACCCCTAGGGAACAGGGACTTTTTAAATCATTCGCATGATCCATCCGCTGGGACCCTGCAATATTGGCTCGTCGTGAAGGTGCTTCTCCATCGCGCATCCGGATAGGCCAAAAGTAGAAGGCCTGTCGCGGAGCTCATACACGGAGAGCTCACTTCAGACAAGTCTAAGACGAGAGAAGAAGAAACTCGAAGAATTCGACTCGGTTGAATGAAGTATTCAAGGATGAGCTTCAAGAGGAAAAAATTTGCTGCAGCGGCTTGTCTTGTGGTATGGGCAAACAGATGTTGTTAATAAGGAGAACCATGTCAGTTCCAGCTCAATTTATGCTTGCGAGATTGACACGTGACTCAATATCCGCCGTTTGCGCACAGCTGGCGATCAGATTGCGTTTGCTTCAGAGAGTGTCAGAGGCTCCATCACTTTCGAACATATTCTTCGCGCAAAACAGAGAGGAGAAAAAGTACTGTGTAAATGTAAAGATTGGAATAAGGTCGCGCGACACGTGCGTTTGTGGCGAGGCTGCCAATTGGTTGTGTGGGGCGAGCGGCCAGCTCCAAAATCAACGTCGCAGACCTCGAACGACAAATCTTGGCCCAGCTCTCTGGACGACATCACATCTGCCCACAGACGCCCGCAGCCGGCGCAAACCAATCACACACCATGGTGCGTAATTTAGGGGAATACCCGTTCCTACCAACATGCTGCTAACCTGCGATTTCAGGCACGCAATTCAGAAAAGGCCCAGTCGATGCTGTTTCGCTTCCGCGAGGCGCAGGCCGCCGACCTGGGCATCGTCGACACGGGCCGCGCGCGGCGTCCACGCGCCATCACCGAGGTTGATTCGATTCCAGTGTGCGAGAAGTGGCGCGGCCAGGTCCTCAAGGAAATTTCGCGCAAGGTGTCGCGCATCCACGAGCCAGTCCTAAGCGACTACCAGATCCGGGACCTCAACGACGAGATCAATAAGCTGATGCGCGAAAAGCACATGTGGGAGGTGCAGATACGTAACCTTGGGGGACCAAACTATATGCGCGGCGGCGGCAAGGTCTACGACGAGCAAGGGCGCGAGGTGCCCGGCGGCGGCCGGGGCTATCGGTATTTCGGCCGCGCCAAGGAGCTGCCCGGCGTCAAAGAGCTATTCGAGGCGGCGGCGGCAAAGAATGCAGAGGATAGTGGGAAGCCGCTGGAGACGAGCAAAGACCTGCGGAGGGCGGTGGACGCGGCCTACTATGGCTACGCGCCGGACGAGGAGAACGAGGCGCTGCTGCGGTACGAGGCAGAGAAGGAGAGGCAGGCCGTGGAAAATCTGCTGAGGAATGGCGTGCAGGAGCCGCCAGAGGGCTGGGAGCCGCTGCCGGGTGACTCGGGCGACGGGCATGTTGTGAGCTTGCCGACGCTGGAGGAGGTGCAGGAGGAGCTCATCGATCGCAGACGGCGAAAGCTGCTGGAGCAGCTCTGACGGAAGAAATACTTGGGGTGTCACATTTGGAGTTTTTGATACTGATGGCGTACCGGTGTATGGATTGATTATAATACTTGTGGTTTTCCTCTTCATTTCTACTGCTTACTCGACTTTTGTTGACGTTGGTCTGGCTGCCCGTGCATGATGAGGTTGACGTCACACTGGTGTTGCGGGTGTCCGTATCCAGCACCTAGCCCTAACGAACGCAACATGGTATTTGTGATCTTGATCTGTAACAAGTGCGCTTATGTCACTACGCGAATGCTAAACTGTGGACATGTGCCCGTGACTCGGCGTGCATGTTGTATGCAAGGGCGGCATTTGGCAACGATACATCTGCACACCACATGTCTGCATAGGCCAAGGGAAATCGAGACATTGGTTCCAGAATTAGGCATAGTTAAAAAGTTTAGCCTTCTTATGCGGCTGTCACTTGCAAGTTGTATCCCACATTGATGTCTGTGCGGTGTGAGTGAAGTCACGGCACCCAAGAACGCGAGCGCAGTAACTAGTTTTTCGGGTCGAGTTGCCTATGAACACATGTATTCAACGATCAAATACAATGTTTGGAAAGGCTGCCGCTTGGCTGTTGGTGTTTCAGGGATGTGGTTGTCAATTTCAGGATGAGGGCGCTAACACCTTGCCACCGCAACGCTAGCGATGGACCCCTGCATGATTTGCAATTAATTCCGGGCAAGCAATCAACGCGATTTGCTCAAATATCTCCCGTGCCTCCTTGGCAAGCTCTACAGTGGGTGGCAACAAATATTTGACCCCCTCTAGGTAGCGGTTTTACGCCGACGCTAGCCTTAAAAGGCAGCTAAATTACGCCGCTTTAAAGCCGCCAGGGTTAGGGTTATTCATATCCACTATAATCCACTGTAAGTCCACTATAACTTGATCAGGGTTAGGGTCGACAGCTCTAGCTTAAAGCAGCATTATTTTGATCTTCCTATTTAGGTAAGACCTCGGCTGCGATACCCTTGGGGGGTCAAATACATGTTGCCACCCACTGTACGAGAGGGGCATGGGGCTCCTTCGTCAGTGGCAACGTGCGATTTCCCCAGCGGTTTCCCTGGGATTTGAGGGGCGCGTCATGCTAATTGACAATGATAGGCTGAATCATCAGTGGACTCGTTAAAGTCATACGAAGTAGCAACCTACATAGGATGATTTGAGGTACAAGAGACCAGAAATGACATAGAAGACAATGTAGACCAGACAAGAAAAATAAAGAAAGCAAGGAAAACAATCAATATTATAAAACAAACAAGCGAAGATGTATTGGAATGAAGAGGTTATTTTATATTTTCCTTTGTCGCACGGGCGTCAAGGCCCGTGATATCCTCCGCCATATTGCGTCGATACGAGCAAAAATTCGTGCCTGTCGGGCAAGTCGCCCAAAACCCTTCAATTTCGCTACCGGCAAGCAAAGGCATGACCAGTCAAGGTCCCATTGAAATCATGTTTGGCATACAAAGTATCGCAATCCTTCGGGAAGACATCTGGTCTTGAGGCGGGAGGCGGTTATCCTCACGCAAGTGCTCGTTCTTGCAAAAGCCCTAGCGTAGTCTTGGCTGAGGAGGCATGAGGCATCTGTGTATGCCTTGCGTACGTTGATGAGAGTTGCAAATTGGTGACGAGCTTCTAGAGGTTCAGCAGGAATGACTGGCGTGTGTACCTAGAAAGGAGCATATGAGGACAACAAACAAGGCAAGGCACAGTGTAGTTCAAATAGATAGATGTTGGAATTGAGAGGGAAATATCAAACAAAAAGATGAATGTCTAGCTTCATAATGGCTGTACCATTCATACACCACCTAGTTATTACCAGTAGTCTTTTCCATAGACTCGATAATGTATTAAATAGAGTACGTATCGATCGGGGCCCCTCGGTTCTCCTCCCCTGCAAGACCCCTGCTTCGTCTGGACCAGGTTCTCCCGCGTGATGGACTCAATCCGTTCCGTTGTATCCCCTGATCCATTTCTATCGCTGGTGATAAATAGTCATAATTAAATAGCCGACGAGGTTCTGCTTGTTGCAATATTTGGTTCAGCCCCTCCCCACCCCCGGCAGCCTGAGACCCCTGCCCAGGTGCCCAGGTGCCCAGCTCCCCTTCTTCTCCTCCGCCGCCTTCCTTTTCATCCAGAACCGTCATTTCCATCTTGCATTCACCTTTTCTGCTCGTCGCTCTTTCTCTTTCGCATACCCTTATTGACACTTACACTCCTTTCAACCCCCCCCTTTTTTTTGCCGATGCATGTTTGGTGTTCGCTCGCTTAATACCCCCATTGACTTTTAATATTCCTGCCAGCGGTTCTACGACGACCCCGTTCGCTCTCCTACAGAAACCCCCAACGACAGCGCCTCGATTTTTCTTGCGTATTGACACTGCCAAGTGCGACTCGGCCATTGTATCCCATCCAGCTTCCAGCACGTAACCGTTTCTGAAGCCGTCATCTTCATTGCGATAGCGCTTGCGCTTCAACACCATCCGTGCGAGCTGGTCGAGTTTGAGCTTCAACGGGGCATCCAGTGCTCCACTTCCCCTACAACGTCCTTGAGCAACATCTCGTTGCCGTCGATTCAAAATGTATTTTTGCTCGCCCATTCGGTAAAAAAAATCATGACTTCTAATCTAACATAGACAGACAATGGTCTCCTTCTTTGGGCTCAAATTCGGAGGCGACAAAAAAAAGGGCCTGTAAGTCTAGCCCAACCTCAAATGACACAGGCGACATCTAGCTGACGTGAGCATAGGGACAAGTCTAGTGACAAAAGCCCTCAAGATGACTGGAAAGGAACGAAACAAAGAGAACTGACCCAAGACCATCTTTACGGCACAGCTCAGCAGAACGAATACCCTGGTCGTTCCGGCACCTCGTACTCAACAAAAGGCCCTGCCAACTGGCGCCAGACTTTCAAAGGCTTCGGTGCCAACTCGTCCATGGTCGACCTTTCCAGACCTACGCGTAAACAAAGTGTCAGCAGTTTACGTTATCAGTCCTCTGAAGTCAACTTTCGGAATCCATGGATGAACAGCAGCGCTGCAAATCTCCCTCTGCCTTCTGCTCTTGGTGGCAGCAGTCAACGACTCGGCGCCTCGGAGCGGCCTTCTACAGCTGGCAGCCGCGTAAAGGAGTGGGTGAATCCTCTCGACGTTCACTTTTGCAAAGATACTGGAGCTCCTAGCTCTTCGCTCAACCCTGTCGAGGGACTAGTCAAAAGCCCTCTCGCTGTGCAAGTTGGCGCCGACAACGATAATGTGGTGAAGCCATCTAGCCCTTCCAAAGACAAGACACTGCTAGTCAGCGGCGAGACGATTCTCAGAAATGGCTACCCATCGCCACCTCAATCGGTCAACAACGCTGACCAAACTCTCTCGCCTTCGGTGTCTGATCTGTCCACGGCTGGCAAGCCTAGTGGTGACCCTTCGCATCTCCCATCGCCTGCTACATCTACTTCACGCGCCAGTGAAGACCGCTGGGAGGCGCCTAATGCTCGTAATGTGTTTGCGAAGCGAGACACGAGTACATTCCATTCACCTCGTCGGCGTAGCTTCACCATGGACCTGGAAGAGCAAGAGCTGGAAAGACTACGGAAGCAGAGGCAGACTGAAGGATTCGCTGGTAGCTTTGCCGACTTTGACTTTGGTGAGGTTGTCACCAAGCAGTCTTCGATTGAGCAATCTTCAGAGCTTCCACCAGCGTGTCTAAACGCTAACGTCGACACTGAGTCGAGCCAGTCTTTCCCAGAGAAGCAATTGCCAACCAGCAAGTCGGACAATGTTTTGGCCAGCTCAACCTATACGGTCTCGAATAGTCTCGAACGCAGACTGAGCAACTCTCGAACGGATACAAGGGCAATGCGCGATATGCGTAGCTCACCAAGTCTCGGTGCAACCGCATTTCAACTCCCCCCACCGGCGCCCGTGGAGGCTCCCAAGATAGCGACCGTCCGACCTGCCACGATCTATGGTCGTGTCGGAGCTCCTATGGCTGCTGCCGGCGCGCACCCTGGTAACGGCCCTGTAGCCGCATTTGATCCGCCACCTCGTTTAGGATTCCGTGCTAGACTTGGCTCAGATGCCAGCAGCCGGCGCAGGGCGAGCCCCCCCAAGCCCTTGAAGACGAGTGCCTCGCAGCCAAGACTTCTGTATAAGAGTGCTTCGTCTCCGGTACGTGATGACGAACCAAACCCAAAGGCTTTTTTCCAACCAACCGCCAATGTGGATCGCCAGTCGCCTAGCAGCGACGAGTCGAAGCGTAGCCTGGATATCAAGTCACCCAAGAGTCCATTTACCAAGCCTGTGTTGGAGGGCGACTTTCCAATGACGAATGGTCTCCCGAGAGGGCGTCAACCTCCTCGGAGACCCCTGCGCTCTGACGAAGCCTCTTCACCCGAGCGGCCTAACTTTTCTTTGCCAGACTGGGGTTTGAGTGGCCCGACTGAGCCAAGACATTCGGCAATGCCACCTCCTCTCGTGACTAGCGGCCTGTCACGACCTTCGATCTCGTCTGCTACTGATATGAGCCTTCCAAGCCCTTCATTCGCGTCCTTTGAACTGTGCATTTCCAACTCGGGCGAGAGTCTTACCCAAGCATTTGAGGACGCACTCGGAAAGACGGCACTATCTCCCGGCTTGGTTGGTGACTTTTTTACCGTCGACACAAGCTCTAGCAGCCCTACGGGCACTGCAACGAGAGTTGAAGCGAAAAGGGCGCCGCCACGGCCGGCTCCTGTCACTCTCCCGCCCTCTCCCAAGAAGAGCTCGGAGCGACGCTCGCCTGCACAGACACAGAGCGAAGTCGGTACTACATTTATTTAACACCCCTAATCTTGTTGTTGGCTGAACATTGCACCGTGGTCCGTAATTTGGGGTTTTTGGGTTGGTCTTGCAGGTGCAACGGCGTTTTGTGCTTTCATCTTACATTGCAAGGGCACAGGTGGCCTAGTTAATGTTTTAGTTTAATTCTTATTGTCTGGTGATGAGGGAGGCTGCCGATATTCTGTGTACAGTTTGGACTTGTCAAGCCTAGCCATTTGCGTGACATGCGTTTATTCATGGAAGCCTTGCATGGCGTGAATGTGGACCAGGACGGTTCAAGGATCAATGATTGAGTGAGATGGACTACATGACTGAGATACCAAAAGGTAGAGCGGAGAAGAGCAGAGTGATTATGCGGAAGCAAAAGATTTTTGAATTGAACTTGTGTAAATCGATTTGATATCGAAACGCCTGTGCCTATGCAGTGAAAAACTTGGTCCGCCGAACAGAACGTCCCTCCCTGCTGTGCTTTTGAATATTTCATCTCCCCGTGTTATCTATCGGCTTTTGATCATTAACGCAGAAAGTTCTTCAGGTTGCCACCAATGTGCTTGAGGTCCAGCAGGAACGTGTCATGCCCAAACAGGCTCATCTCCTCGCTTAGCTCCACGTGCGTTACGTTGCGGTTGCCAGCCAAGCGCAGCGACTCGGCCACCTCGCGCTGCTGCCACGCTGGGAACAGAATATCGCTCGCCACGCCCATGACCAGTGCGGGCGTATCCCTCAGCGGCGCCAGGCCCTGGATCAGATCCTCAGGCGGGCGCGAAGAGCCCGCCTCCATGGCCTCGTCCATGTTGACGTGCGACTCGGGCTGCTCCTCGTATGGCCTCTCTGGCAGCGTCAAGCTGCATGCCGTCGACGCCGCCGCCGCCGCCGCCGCTGACGATGCACCGTCATCACCGTCCCGTCCGGCAGCTGCCTGCCGCGCGGCGCGACGTTGCTGCGTGGCGTGCTGGTTCTGCAGGCCGAGGTCAAACAGGTCCATGGCCTTGCTGACGTAGAGTAGCGAGTTGGGATCGTAGTTGAGGCACCACTTCTCGCCGGCGTGGTCGAGGTAGGTCTCGACGAGGAAGTCGGGGCACAGGGCCGGGGGTTTCGCGGGGTCGGCGCGGCGGCGGCCGAAGCGCTGCTCCCACTCGGGGCCGGAGCGATAGGTGACGGTGGCGATTTCGCGCGCCAGCTTCATGCCGGCGTGCGGGGGCACGCGGCCGTAGTAGAAGCCGCGGTTCCAGTTGGGGTCCATCATGAGCACCTGGCGCTGGGTGTGGCGCATGGCGATGCTGTAGGGGTGGCTGCGCGCGCAGCCGCTGATGCAGACGACGCGGGCGACGCGGCGGGGGAAGAGCACGCCGGCGGCGAGCGACTGCATGCCGCCCATGCTGGAGCCGACGCTGGCGTGGAGCGTCTCGATGCCGAGGGCGTCGAGGAGGCGGAACTGCGCGCGCACCATGTCGTCGAGGGTGAGGATGGGAAAATGCGTGGCGTAGCGCTGGCCGTGGCCCGGGTCCACGCTCGAGGGCCCCGTCGAGCCGTAGCACCCGCCGAGGACGTTTGTGCAGATGACGTGGAAGCGGTCCGTGTCGAGCGGCGCGCCGGGGCCGATGAACTTTTCCCACCACCCCGGCGACGGGTTCTCCGGGGTGGAGTGCGCGTGGGACGATGCCGACAGGCCCGTGTGCAGCAGGATGGCGTTGGACTTGTCGGCGTTGAGGGCGCCCCACGTCTCGTAGGCAATGTCAAACGAGGGCAGCACGCCGCCCCAGTCGAGGCGCAGGGGGTCGCGGCAGTGATATACCTGTGTGACGCCCGATGTGTACGACGGCTCCGGGCCGCTGCTGCTGGAGGAAGGGGATGAGGAGGAGGTAGCGTGCTGGAGCGTGGCGGAGCGATTCTCCATGGCGTCGAGGCAGGGAAAGGCCATGGCCGGGTTGGAGGCCGCGCCGGAGCGAGCGCTTGCAGAGGCGTGCAGCAGACGGCGAGACGGGATAGAAGCGGCGGCGCGGGAAGAGGCAGAGGGCGATGTCGGCGACGAGAGCGCAGGGCGGCGGCGCAGGTGCCGAGCAGCCGTGGCCAGCTGCCGATGGGGTTTCATTGGGTCGGCAAAGATGTACAAGTTGTCTGCGTGTAAAAAGAGTATTGGAGAGTGAAGACGGAAAAACGAAAGGATTAAAGCTAAGAAAGAGAAAAAGAAGAAAGAGAAGAAAATGGAAAGAATTGAATGAGAATAAAAAATGTTTGCTTGGTCATTGAGATTCGCCCGTCGACGACAGACATTACTGGAGCGCTAGGCCGAGCTGGGGCGCCGCCATTCGCACACCATTTCACGTGCAGCGCCGCCTGGCCGGATGGCCGGCCGATGGCCCGACCAACCGATGACGGAGACGGTCATGGGGGTTTGAGGGTAGGTGAAGTGATGCATGGTGTGTAAAACTTCATTGTTGTTAATTTAAAACTGGATTGTATTTTGACTGCTGTTTCTACGGCTCGTGTTTGTTGCGCGGGCGGCGGTGGGCAAACCGAACAGCTCGGGTAACCACTATTTAAGTGCAGACTACCCCAGATTGGTGTACTGCGGTGTGGTTGTCAAACTCCAGACGGAAAGAGCCTGTGGGAGAAGGAAATGGCTGCGTGCTTGTCACCTATAAGTGCAGAACCAGTCTCAACATGGCCAGACCAGAGGTTGTGTAGAGTTGGCCGCACGGTTGTAAATGACGGGAGGAGTACCCTAATAAGTTCGATGAAAACTTGGCGCAAAGGTGCCATGCATAGCGCCATGATTGTGCGAAAGTGCAAATTGGTCCTTGTTTGAAGCGGTAATTCCGTTTAGAGAGTGCTTTTTTTTCGGCGCATAGCTTAAGTGTGCAACTGAAACCAGTTGCAACCTGGGACTTTACACGATGTGACTGTGATTGCTCAATGACGGCGATGTAGGGCGGCGAAGGGCTTAGTTTTGTCGTGCCGTTCAATAATTGAGCTTTATAGTAGAATAGATGTTACGTTTAAAAGATGATTGGGAATTTTGAACTTGCTTGCATCTACTTTGGTCTTTATTTTTCTTTCTTATTCTTTGGTTAATGTTTGATGTTGACAACAACTAGGTGCCACCACAGATACAAAGAACACAGATAGCCAGTACCCCCAGAATCGTACACGAATAAAACTGCTGACAATATTTGTCTACTGGTAGTAGCATGTTAAGATTGTGTACCGTAATTTCCCGGTTGGCCTACGCCAGTTGCGCAGTTGCGTTGGTAAGGAACACCATATCCATGTCTGCAATCAGTCTATCAGTGTGAAACGCCCAATTCGTTGCTACAGGTTGGCTATTGGTCAAGCAAATTATTGTGATATTAAGGGGCCATAGGTGCTACAAAAGGCGTGGCGCGTCCATTTTTTTGAGCGTATGAGGCAATATATATAGGTCGGTAGTGGCAACGCGGTTGCGCCGCCCGCGCCTGGACCCTGGTATAGGCTGACGTCAGTGTACCTGCAGTCTCGCCGGCGTAGCAGTAGGCACTTGGCACATCATGCAGATAACACCACATTTCTCTTCTTCAACACCTCGACAGGACGCACATCTTTTCATCCGAGAAGTGGTTGCTTTCAACTGTTCTACACCTCTCATTCATTAAATTACCTGGGGACCAATACTTCATCGCCAGTCCGCTGCCCCGCAAACGAGACGCCCTCTGTCCCCGAGCTACCCCGCCATGTCCTTGAGAATCATCCCTGCCAACATCATCAGCCGTTTACAGGCCCTTAGCACCGGCCAGACGCCCGACACCCCGAATGAGGACGAACCCGCCGCTGATACGGCTCCCAGGCACGCAGGTAGCCGCAATGAGAATGGCCATTATGACCCGTCCCCCATAGACGTCGCCGTCGTGCGCATCATGCTCGCCAAGGCCACCAAGCTACCCGTGGATGTCGTAGACGGCATTTTCGAGCTCGCAGAGTATTGGGTACGCACCACGACTGCCGCAGATTATTCCGGCAACGCGCTGTATGTGAGCTCTCGCTCCGTTCAAGACAGGTTTCTGGTAAGTAACAGTCGTTGCGTACCTCCCGCAGACAGCAAACAGGCGCTTATAGCTGTAGGTCCGATCACTGCCCATTGGGTTCACGAGCGAGCACGGCGGCGACCTAGATCTCAAGGGCGAACCTGCCCCCGCGAAGCCTTTAAAAAGTACAGTACCCGCCAATAAGCTGGCAAGAATGGCAGACTATCCGCTGCCTAAGCTCCAAGGCCCTGTGCGTAAAGTTGTCTTCAAGTTTACCTCGCATGATCAGGGCTGGTCGGGCGAGACTGGCGGCCTCTACGAAAACTCTTGGACCTGGTTTGAAGCTGGTCTAGAGCGGCTAGAAGACTCTGAAATCGGTAAGACAAGCTAGCTGTGGAAAGATACCGCGACGTACGTTGCTAACTGGCATAGGTGCGCCTCGAGACCCTCCACCGACTGCTCTTTATCGACAAGCCCTTCGACCTGTACATCCGGCCATCGAAGAAGTCATAGAGGAGAAGAAAGAAGACGCTGAAAATGGAGAAGCAGCACCGCAAGAGCCCCAATTCCAATATCAATTTCCGTTGATCCAGAGTCCGAAATGGACGGTCTGCCGAAACAAGCGCGCCCACAGAGACTGGCAAGACCACACCATCACGTGGGCGTGCTACGATGACGTACAGGCAGACTCTGACGGCAGCAAAGCTCTGGAGGAGAATGGGCGCGGTCGGGAAACTGGCGACGGCGAGTTTGTGCGGAGCCTGCAGCTCGGTGATGTGGTGACGCTGTGGGCAAAGGCCAGGTTCCCCGGCTGGGTCAACAACATCTTAGCTGCCAGCATTGACGTATACTGGGCAGCCACTTGAGCGGCAGAGTGCCTCGTCGGAATAATATAATTAGACAGTAGCTTTAACGAAGAATGGCCAAATTGTATTTTGCATTACCTGGCTTCCACTGCATTTTGTTGCTGCGCTTGTACCTGTTGTTGTTAGCTGACCCGCTGTTTACACCACTGCGTTTGCTGCCAGATCCTCGACGATGGTTCTTGACCTTGCACTCTAACACGCTGTTGACGGACCGCCAAGGTATGAAGCAGACATTGCAGACTTTTATTTGTAGCAAAGCATCTCCAGCAAGGCTACGTATCTCATCAAAGCGCCCCTTTATTTTTTCAGCTGCCTCGTACGCCCGTGCCCGTGTTCAAGGCACCATGTCTCGCCTCATCCAGTCTAAAGAGGGCGTTCCCATCACCCTTCCCGACGGCCTCGCTGAAGATCAGCTGTGGTCATTCAAGCCATTTACTGTAAGCGATCTAAGAACTACATTTTAAGCATACTCTTGTACCGTCCACCAAGGCTTTCATACACCTCCTCTTTCAAATCCCCTTTCCCATTTTTTTTGGTGGCTGCTAATAATAGCTGGCAGACGTGGATGAGCACCCTCTCCCGCTCCCTCGCGCTACAGTCCTCCGCCGACCACCCCTTCCGCGCGGATCCCTACGCGCTGCGCTCCGTCACCGTCCAGGCCTTTGACCTCTTTGGCTCTTCCCGCGTCGGCTTCGTCAAGCTCGCGGCCGTCGTGTCCAACCGCGCCGGCGAGACGCTCCCCGCGGCCGCGCTCCTCCGCGGGCCCAGCGTCGCCATGCTCGTCATGCTCATCCCCGACGACGCGGCCCCGGACTCTGACGAGCGCTACGTTGTCTTCACCGTGCAGCCGCGCGTGCCGGCGGGCAGTCTCGGCTTCGTCGAGCTGCCGGCGGGCATGGTGGACGACTCGGGCCACTTTAAAGGCGTCGCGGCGCAGGAGATTCAAGAGGAGCTGGGCATTACCATTGCAGAGGACGAGCTGCAGTGTCTGAGCGATTTGGCAGCGGAAGACGAGCAGGAGAAGACGGGAGAGGGAGAAGGGCTGGCGGCGGCCATGTTTCCGAGCGCGGGCGGGTGCGACGAGCATGTGACAATCTATAGCCATGAGCGCAGGATTCCGAGGAGTGAGCTGCAGAGCTGGAGCGGACGGCTGACGGGGCTGCGGGACCACGGGGAGAAGATCACGCTCAGGATCGTGCCGATGAGGGAGGCGTGGAAGGCGGGCGCGAGAGACGCGAAAGCGCTCGGGGCATTGGCGTTGTGGGAGGGTCTGCGGCGAGAAGGCAAAGTCTAGTATTTTATATAGCCTCTTCTATCCCTGATTCTAGTCTATCTTTTTTTTCCTTTTTTTTTTCTTCGGTATCGTGAAAATATGCCCTCTACTTTTGGCCTCCGCTGACCCCCTCCTCAAGCGGTTCCGTTTACAGCTTGAGCTGCTGCGCCAGGAGCACGCCCTCGGCCAGCGTCCCGACGCGCGCGTCAATGGCCACGCCCTCTGCCTCTAGCTTCTGGCAGAGGTTCCAGAGGTCCTTGAGCGGGTGGGTAAAGACTTGGATGAACTCGTCGTCCTCGAGCTGGGGCTGCGGGTTCTGGTTCTCGGGCGTGGTGACGTCGACGGAGACGTGCACCATGCGCAGGTTGGTGTTGCAGAAGCCCGGGTCGTTGAACATGACGGGCGACGTCTCGGTGACGACGCCGACGTAGCCCGTCTCCTCGCGCAGCTCGCGCAGGGCGGCCTGCTCGGGCGTCTCGCCGGCGTCGACGAGGCCCGCGGGGACCTCGAGCGACACGCGGTCAATGGGCGGGCGGTACTGGCGCTGCAGCACAATGTCCTTGGCGCCGGTGGCGGCGTTGTCGAGGATGGCGACGATGCCGACGCCGTCAATGGCGCTCGTGGCGGGGCGCTGGCGACGCTCGGCTGACTCCCAGGTGCGCGCCTTGCCGGTCTGGTCCTGGTAGTCGATCCTAGAAGAGTGGGAGAGAGAAGAAGTGTGAGAAGGGGGGGTTTGATGAGAAGAACGGTGAGAAGAGAAGTTGGTTGTGAGGGTTTGTCGGTGTGTGTGTGTGTGTGTGTGTGTGTTGTGCTCACTTGACTAGCTTGATCCAACGGGCTTCGTCGTCGGACTGGAGAGTGTCAGCGACGGGTTGATAACATGTCTAGGAATGAGAGGCGTACCAATGGCCCAGTGCGTAAGTGTTTAGGTCCCTCGGAAGAAGCCATGATTGTTTTGATGATGTTGGCAGAATGCGGCCGTTTTGTTTTCTGGACAAGGACAATGTAGGTGAGCCACTGGTACCCGACGTACCCACCAAAGACTGCCCAGCGATAGTCGGGGCGCTGTTACAGCGGCCAACAGAGACGAGTCACGTCTATCATGTACAAAATTATTTAGGTCCTTTGTCAAAGAGTTTGATAATCATACTTGGTCTGATTAAAAAGTAAAATATCATGTGAGCGACGGAAATCTGAGCATACAAGTTTGGTTTACGTTGAGGCGGGCTTCGGTTCAAGCCATCATCTTTAACGAGTCTAGCAACATACTGACGTTAACTAGGAATTCGGCTCAAGACCGACATTGATTATCGAATTGATGTTGGCCGTGCCGGTCTCGAGGAGCAGCTCGACCGTAGACCGGCTCGCTCCGTACGAGAACAGCAACATAAGCGGCGCTTATCCAAAGTCTCACTGGCATTAACGTCCGAAGAATGAAGCGTGTTAAGAAGTGAGCCGATTCTAAAATACTAAATATTATGTTTAAAATTTTATATATTATTATGATAATATAGTATTTAATCTCTATTATACCCTAGCTATTAGACTTACTTCGGCACTTGTGTCTATAGTAGAGCTTTTTATTATTTCATATAAAACTACTATTTTTTACTGATTCCTTTTCTAATATGCTTATGTAACCGTGCTGCGTAGATTTCTGTTTTATATTGTCAGGTCGTACAAATTTCTTTTTGGCTACTTAGATGGTCACGTTTTATTGGGCACCCACTTGAGATACGATATCCTTCTCGAAAATTTCAACCTAATGTCTGACATAGAAAAAAAAATGGCAGCCATCTCACCAGCTGGCTATCTACGGCGAGGGTAGGCATCTTCTGCAAATCGAAACAGCAAGACCTGTCCCCCCATACAACCAACCACCATCACACGACCCTGCACCAGCCACGTAAACTCTTCCTCTGACTCTTCCTCTGACTCTTCTCCTGTCACTTTCAAGCTCTCCGGCAAGGCGACAACATGGTTGTTCCACCTGACTGACCCATTGTGCACGCCACTCTGCGGCAAATACCATCCGCCCCTGTCCGCCGTCTCGTTGTCCTCCTCCTCCTTCTCATCGACATGGCTGTCGTGTTCTATAGCGTTTTTGTCGAAATCCACATCCACACATATCGGCCCATGCTCCGTGAACGCTATGCCTGGATAGTTTTCTGTATCAAATCGAATCCTCCGGAATGATACGTCGTACCCATCCGATGAGGCAAACAGCCGGACAATCTTGAGCCGTAGACGCGCCGACCTGTCATTCTCCAAGGCCCAGACAGCGATTGAACCGTTTTCACTGACCGTGATCACCTTGTTGCCGTCATCCGAATAGACTGCACCGGTTATTGTTGCGTCTGCCCTTTCACCCGTGTATTCTGGACTTTTTGTGCCACCGTCGCCGTCACGCCGCCAGATCCGCAGGCGCCTGTCGTCGCCCCCTGCCGCCAAAAATTTTCCGTCGGGTGAAAATGCCACGCAGAAGACATTCAGCTTCGTGACCTTGGCATCGAATGTGTTTTGTGGACGGATAGTCTCAGTGCTGCTACTGCTGCCTCTCACCACTGCCGATTTGGCCTTGGAGACGCAAAAGACACGCACCTTGCCGTCCTCGCACGCCGTCGCCACCAGCCGGCCATACCGGTCAAAAACGGCGTCCCGCGGCCGGCCGTCGTGTTCGAAACGATATCTCGGCACTAGTGGCCCCCATGCTGCGTTCCGGACTGAGATGCTCGAAACATCCCAAACGAAGGCGGCGCGGTCGGTCGCAGCTGTCACCAGCAGCTTGCCGTTGGGCGAGAACGTCATGACCAGGACTTCTGCTGAGTGGCCATTGGTCTTGGCGCTACAGCCCAGTTGTGCGCCTGTCGTCGTTTCCCACAAGCAGATCATGCCGTCGTAGGAGGCTGTTGCGACCACTTCGTCATCCGGTGAAATGGCCACGCAGCAGACGCCTGATAAATGGCCCTGGAGCAGTACACTGCCCATGGCGGAGGAAGTATCTGCATGTGCGTTGGCTGCTAGGATGGCTGGGTCGATACCCTCGACGGTGTGGTGGGTGCTAGCGTCAATGTCCCAGATGCAGAGTTTGTAGTCCTCGGACGACGATGCTAGCAACCAAGAGGCCGAGGAGTTGGTTCTCGAATCTAAATGCGGTGCAGACGCAACTGCCAGAACTGCTCGAGTGTGCCCGTGGAGAATGCGGTCCGGCCAAATCCGCGTTTCGGGCTCGCTCTGAGGATCTGTTTCACTGTCGTCACCCTCTCCGGAGTTCCCCCAATTACCCGGAGACTTGTGTCTCCAGATGGCAATTTTGGTGTCGTCTGAACCTGTGGCGATACAGGACCCGTCAGGCGAGAACGTCACGCTGGTGACGGAGCGCCTGTGGTGCGCCAGGACGGCCACCGTCTTGCGTGTCCGCATGTCCCAGACGCGAGCTGTCCTGTCGATCGAACCTGAGACCAGAAATCTTGAGTCTGGGGAAAAGGCGAGGGAAGATATGTTGCATGTATGCCCTTCTTGTACCGATTTTTCGTCTTGATTGCTTATTGAATTTTCGACTGATTCTTTGGAGAGCTCTTCTTGACGCACTTCTATTGCGTCCAGCTCTTGTTCGTCCTTTCGCAGACTACTCTCTGCATTTTCAGCTGATATATCTTGTGATTTATCCGACTTTACGACTGCGTTTGCTGGGGGTTTCGTTGGTTGTCCTGGCTCTTCCTCTTGGCCTTTTGGGTTTGACTTATTCTTATGTTCTTGTAGGAAATCTTTCGAGCTCGGGCTTCGCATTGGAAGTGTGTAGCTGTCCTCTTTGCTTGTCGCGGTACGCCAGATCCGGATGGATGCGCCTTCGGTTGACGCGATGAGCTTTCCGTCGGGCGAAAACGCAACGTATTTTGTGTACGATTCGCTGTAAAGAACCCCTCCGTGTCTTGTAACGGGATTTAGCAACAGATCCTCCCAGACGATAAGACCGCTTGATGTGGCTGCAGCCAGCTTGTCTGCATTTGGGGACAGCGCAATGTGCTCCAAAAACTCTGTAAGGCCCTCAATAGTGATGACGAGTTTCCCCGAAGACACATCCCACGCCTTTATTGAGTGATCGGTAAAGGCCACCAGGAGAGTGGGCAGTTTTTGTTTCCGGCTGCCGAGCTCAAGACGTGGTGATGACATGGCCACGCCGCGAATGAAGTGGCGCGGGCCGGAGCCCTCGAAATCATCAAACCACAGTTGCAAGTTTCCTGTCCGCGCATCCCATAGGCGCACAATTCCGTCGCACGAGGCCGAAGCTACCAGCCTGCCATCAGGCGAGAAACAGCAGCGCCGGGACCAGACGCCATGATCAATGGTATGCAAACAGCTGGCCGAGGCGTCCGTCTGTTGGATCCTCGGAGGCGTTTCGATCCATGGGAATCGCACCGGCATCAAGCGGCTTCTCAGGTTGGGCAAGTCAGCAGCGAAGAGCAGCGAATTGTCGAGTTCGTCCAAGGTGACTTCTTTGGAAGCTTCTTCTGAAGACCTTAACCTGAGCTGGCATCTCTGCAGGACTATAATGACTTCTCGAATGATTTGGGCTGGCGTGCTGCTACGTGCAGGGACATTTTGATGGCCACGTTGGGGAGGCAGCCGCATGTCATCCCTAGAAGTAATCGTGGCGTGAAGTTGACGCATCATAGACAGACATCTCAGGAAAGTACTACTACTCGAGCCTAATAGAGACAGCCACTCCTCCAAGTGCGCGGTTAGCAGCTGAACGGCCATTTTAACGACACTTCGGTTGTCTTTGCTGCACGGCTCTGACAAGTGTCTGATCCACATGAGAACAATATAGTCGATCCTGCCAATGTTGTAATGAGAAGAGTTGGATTGGTTACGGTTGCCCAACACATCAGGGCTACGCCTGAGCTTCCTGAGGAGGATAGTGAGACACCAATGAGCAATCTTGGTATGGATTGACGGCTCCCCAACCCTGGACAGACGGTGTAGATTCTGTCTAACGTAATCTCGGGCCGATAGGTGAGTAAAGTGCACTATGCCGTCGTCCGAGATTTCCAGAAAGGACGGCAGCAGCGTCTTGACCAACACTGGCAACTCGACTGCAGGAGGCAGTCCGCTCAAAGCAACAAGTTCCCGCACCGTCAACGGCTGGTATGCCGCAGTCGCAGTCTCCAGCACAGTCTTACAGTACGTCACGTCGTTCTGTGTAATAGGAGAGGATCCTCTTAGCGACAAGACACCATTCAAGGAAAGCAGTAGTTCTGCATCATAAAATCCCGCAACCGTCTTATTCCGCATGGCGAGCTGGCCGAGCATCGTGGCCGCGTTCCATGGCAATGTTGATGCCTGCACAATGCTCAAGAGTGCCAGCTTCGTCCACAAGAAGTTGTTGAGCGCCGCCTGCTCAAGCATGTCCATTAAGCTCTTACGGACGAAGCTATTGTTGTAGTATCCCCCCAACTCACAGCTGCTGCTGATGTTGACCAATCTATCGGCCGCATAGTCGCGGACAATGTTGACAATGTTGGGGGTCTTTTTAGCGTCCAGTTCTGTGTCGAGGTCCAGCAGCTGATACTGCAACTTGGAATCGTACATTTCAAGCATCTCGCGCTTGCAAGCATCCCAGCGTGCATGATCGGCGGACAAGATCCATTTCACCTTGCTTGACAGCTCAACCGTTGTGGCCACGAGGCCCAAGAGCCGCACAAAGTCGCTTTCTTCATCCTGAGAATATGCTCCTTGCTTCTCTGGTTCGATCCCTTCGTCAATCCCATCGAGGACAAAGTACGTTGGCTGGAACTGCTCACTTTGCACCATGCGACACAGAAGCATTGACATGGCCGTAAAGTCGCCTGGTGCGTCAAAGTCGATACGCCTGTTGTCCTTGTGGCCCGCATATCTAATTGTACACAGTTTTTTGAGATGGTCACAAAGATCGGGCTGGCTGAGAACCAAGTTGTAGATCAAGTCTTTGACCGCATACAACGCGTAGTCGTCCCAGTACCGCCGCCGCCTGCCACTTTCACGGAAAGAAAAGGCGACATGATGTCCACAGAAGCCAAACATCGATTTATTATTGGTACGTTGGTAACTTTGAACGATGGCCCGCAGTAACATAGTCTTTCCGGCACCCGGCCTGCTGAGGATCCAGAGGATGCGCCGTTCTTTCTGTGCTCCTCCCTCGTCAAAGTTCCTTTGTAGAAAGTCCTCGCAGACCTGCGTGCGGGATACCAGAGCCAAGAACCGCTTCAGGATATCACTGTTCTCCAAGGTGGTCTGCGGCGCCGGATTTGCATCGGCAAGGCCTAATTCGGACAGCTGCTGCTGAGTTGTGTGGACGGCCTTAAGCAGCCCAGAGATTTGAGTCTCATAAACTAGCGCAGAGCTAATCGCGGAATTACCCACAGGTTCTTGGTCGACTGGCGGTTGCCTTGACGCTGTCTCGGTAGCAAGTTGTTTGGCATTCTCAGTGGCAGACGACGAGGGCGGTATTGCGGACAGAGCCTCAGGTGGCGTCGACGCTTTCCCCGACAGGTTCCGTCTGCGACTTGTTGAAAGCTGCTCTGGATAGGGATAGTACCTACTTTTTCTTTGACTTTCCATAAGCCGACGCCTGAAATACATTGAGAAATGAGAGAACAGCAATGAAAGCCAGAACCACAGTGTAGGTGATTCCTCCACTAACAAGGTGGCAGCACTGTGATAATATGCACCTTTGTACCTTGTGGCCCTTCACGACGGTTGAGATTTGTGCTCTCTGCATATTTGCCGGTGCCCTGGATGGTATATATATTGTGTCAACAATGGGCAAAGTTTTGGAGAACAGGGCTACAGTGCAACATTGAAAAAGACTTTGGCACAGTTGCTCGCTCATTGGCACCAAAGCACTTGAATTGGTGATTTGCACCACGTCACACCAAAACATGACATCTTTAAGCGCTGAAATCTCTACAAATAGAGGTCAAGCTAAGATGATATATACGTGTATGCTAGTAGATAATTCGTTAGTATTTATTCTTATACTTTTTACGCGTAATAAAGAGGCATACTTATTAACGAATACCTGGCGTTTAAAGCGGCCGTCTTTTAGTGCCCTGTACCTAGTGCCTTGACGCTCTGTGTGTCATGGAGAGAGTGTGTGTGATGTACCTATTATGGAAGGTGTGGGTGTCTACGGTGCACCATTGATACTAACTTTTACATTATTACTCTTTAGTTCTAAATTTTAAAAAACTAAAAAGCTAAAAATATAATTAAGCTACTATACCCTACTACTAAAACTATATTACTATACCTTAAGATAAATACTACTAAATTTATAGCTTAAATAACTAAGAGTTTAGTACTTAAAAATAGTACTTTTTATAATAATTCTTATAATATATTTTTTTTTTATATTATTTAAATTATAAATATAATAAATATTTAAAATTATTTAACTAATTAATATTTTAAATTATAAGTTATTATTTTATTATTAAATTATTATATTTATAATAATTAAATTTTATTTATATATAATAGTTAATTAATATTTAAATATATTAATAAAAAAAAATTAATT